CTCGCTTCAACTCTATAGTTGTTTCACTTAACACCCTTTTTTGTGGTTATTTTGTTCACTTTACAAAAGAGAGGATAAAGATAAAGGGTGTATCTCTTTTAAAGAGATACATCCTTTATCTTTATCCTTTATCTTTATCGATCGTTAGATATCATGTAAGCTACTATATTCGCTATCGTGAGTTTATTGACAGCAGCTCTAAATAATGATGAAGTCGATTTTCCGTACCATTGTCTTAGATTTTTCAGCCATGATGTCCTTGTTCTACCAGGATCACGTTTACCTTGGATCTTTTCCTTAATGATCAGGTGTAAAAGTTCATATTTTTCAGGGCGTCTCATGATGTGACCAAAGCATTGAAGCTAGCGTCTCTTTATTATATTGACCAGTTGCGTTGTTTAGTTCAGGCGTCAAAGGAACTAATTTATTTCTAACTGTAAACCCAGCTTATTCGTAGTAGTCGTCTGCATAACCACATCTCAAAGGCTTCCAAGCGTTTAAGCATCGCCTTATGTCATTCGAACGCGGAGGTCAATGCTACGATCGTGGCTGCAAAATACGTTCCTCAATGTTACATAATTAAAATAAATATAGTATAAATATAGTAACTAAGGTTTATAATTTTCAAGTCTAAGCGATGACTTCAATTGTCAAAATGCGGCAACTTCATTTATGGATAGATTGTACAGTGTAGATAAAGGATCGTTTGGTTTCATAGACTTTTCTACACTGCGACGTGCAAGATCTCTGCTGCCCGTTTAGATAATTATTTACGTTTATAATTTTAGCTAATTACATATTTTTCACGTTGCGCTTGCTCGCTAAATCTTCTTCGGACTAATTTTCAATAGTGTCTCTTCATTGCCGGAAGTATGGGAAGTTTGACTGATGATGCGTTGTTTCTCATCCTTGTTTGCTTTGTTTTTTTTTGTTTATGGTCCATTCTAGTTCCAAGATAGGGAAGAGATAGTTACTACGGACACACTCGACATGTCGTAGGCTAATGAAACCTAGGTATCGTTTGGTAGCCGGAGTTAAGCCATTTTTAGCTTACACTTGGTAGAGCTCCTCTTGTAGAATTAACTACCATTACGAAGCATGACATACCTTTCACTATAAGGTATTACGGCTATAGGAGGAGTAATTTATGGATATGCTTCCATAATGCATGTTTGTTGCTTTTTAAACCAGTTTAGTTTCTTGTAGAGCCGGTCTACTACTTTTTTCTACTGCTTCGTATATTATCCATTGTTATGGATCAAAACTTATAAAATCCTCAATATTAATGGCTCTAGCTTGCTCTGTATAGCCAATTTCTTAAATTTGACCATAAGTACTAAGATGATTTCATGAAATGTGGTTCTTACAAGACAAAATCCTGACCGAACGAAGTGTACCATAAGAAGGAAATATTGGTGTATAATCGTTTTCGTTTTGAGAGATATCGTACAAAATCCAATATTGTGACGCATCAATTAAGAAACGTTCATAGTACTAATGCTCCTCCAAGAGCAATCTACAATAGACTGTCAGAAAACAATTGATCATCTCAAATTCTCGCAAAGTATCGAAAATTGCTGGCGCAGCATCAACATCAAATAGAATTTGAGTGAAAATATATTAATTTGTCAATCTACAGACTTAATAGTTACAATACAGGAAGAGTACGAGGTAGTGCTCTTGTATATATTACCGAAGGTTTAGTAGTCGATCAAAGGTGATATTGGAGAAACATGGGTAAACATATTATAAGATATTGTTTTGTCGTATTTTTATTGTTTTTTGTATTTGCGTACGCGTTTTTATATTTATGTATTGTTATATAACTCATAAAAAGCATATAAATCATGTTAATCATAAAAAATGCCACATTTAAGTTTTTTAATCGTCTGTGTAGATCTTAACTAATTTTCTCAACCATTTTTGATTGCCAACTTGTTATTGCCAATTTTTCGTGTATGTTTATGTCATGTACCCCGCGCCATAACTGACGCCGACAAATTTTTATGTCTGCTGTATTTTTATATCGAATAACGTGTACAGTCCATTTCCTCATCAGATTTACTATTTGCAAAGGTTCACATTTTATTTTTGATGTATTTAGTCAATTTTGGACGTAAGACAACTCGATATAAGTCACTGCTATAGCTTCTATTCGACAGAAAAACATTAACGTGTTAACAATCTTATTATGGTTCTTAGTATTTTAAATTTTTTGGAAATTTGTAAAAATGGAATTTTGGAAAAATGTAAAAAACGGTAATTTTAATAACAATCACTGGTTTACTGCCAAAAATATAAAATATTTGGAAATATTTCCCCATTCATGTTCGATTTCTTTTTTTACAATGTTATTTGACACATATGCACAGATTGCTAAAGGTACTAAGACTAGAAGGGAAACAAAATCAAATAATCAGCAAAACTCTACGTTAGAAACCAACTTTCAAGTGATTATTAAAAAACTGACTGGCCAGGAAAGGATATTTAAAAGAATTCAGGAAATATTGACTGCCCTATAATATGGCAATAAAGGAGCCATCCCAAAAAAGAAAATCTAATTGGCCAGCTAAAATAATGAGTTGGAATATCAACGGATTAATACAAAAAAGACAACAAGAATTGAAGTTAACCATGGATATGAACAAAATTGACGTGTTTAATATCTGAAACACACCTCACTAAACTATCATTTATTAGATTTAAGGAATACAAAACCACACCGTACATCCTAAAAATAATGGAAGTGGGTAGTGTGGTTATAATCAGAGAAAATCTTCAACATAACGAAGAAGTCAAATTTGAAGCTGAAGATATTCAGGCAACGCTGGTAAACGTTAAGACCAAGAACTATGACCTGGCAGTTATTGGTCTATATAGTCCCCCAAAATATCAAATATCACATCAAAAAAAAAATATCAAAAACATAATATCAAAGCTGAAAGATATACTACACATGTTTACAAATAGTAAATTAAGTATGGTTATTAGATTGAGGTTCGTCGAATGTTATGTATGGTCACAAGTGCTATATGGGGTAGAAGCCACTCTGAAAACCCAATCCGTAAGAAAATTAGAGGCATTCGAAATGTGGCTTTATAGGCGTGTTCTAAAAATTCCTCGGACTGCAAAAGTAGAGGGAAGAAAGAAGAAATCTTGGCTGAGGAATATCAGAGATTGGACTAACCTCAGTATTGAACAGATATTTCACTTTACAAAAGATAAAGAAGCGTTTAAAGAAGTGATCGCTAAGGTTCCTTAGAAGACGGCACAATAAGAAGAAAAAGATTGTCCATCCATGTGCTATTCTTCTTGATACCCCACCTGTTTGGTTGTCATTGCCTATTGTAACTGCGTGTCCAAGGTATTTATTAACAAGTTCTACTTCGTCTTTCTGAATTTTTAAATTATTACTTGGCACAACGTTCGTCATATATTTTGTTTTGGGGATATATTTATTTTTAAACCGATTTCTCTGCAGGCTTTTTCTAGTTCTAACATGATGTTGGTAAGACTGGGAGGCTTACTTGCTTTTTAATCTTGGATGCCCTGGGGACTGGGGCATCCGATAGGTCTTTCTACGGCGATACTGCTTTAGTAGGGTTGGCGTTATGAGCCTTTCTAGTTTTTTTGTGAAACCTCTGGAATTGTCTCTTTTCCAAATGTGTGCCCGACCAGCGAGAGCCAGTGATGTTGGGTTTTGGCATTGGTCAATGGGTCTTTGTACTGGGGTTTTGTGTGTGCTGGACGATCGGCTGCCGACTTTACAAACGGTTTACAAACGGTGTTTGCTTACCAGGAGAGGTCTGGCCACCAAGCCCGTGCCTAACGGTGCACAGCCTCAATGCTTAGGAATCTCGGTTGCTCCATATGGGGTACCTGTGGAAAAAATTGCTGCCCTCTCTTAGATAACCTAAAATTCAGGAAAAAGTTAAGTAAATGGTGTAAAGTAATAGTACTTATCTAACCTAAGGTGTGACTCATGCATTCCCATTTGTATATTACTAACTAACCTATTCTAACTACTTCACTTGTTAGGTCCAATGCCGTGCGAACCTGTTGAGTCCCGTTTTCTATTATGTGACTAGCTTTTCATGTTTATCTCTTTACTCTTCGAAGTGATACCCTACTGATTGGTGTCTGGGTCTTCTTTGCCATGCCGGATAACTTGGAATTTTCTTTATGTTTTCCATCATTTTCGTTTCTTGTCTTGTATTGCTATACATCTAACTATTCTGTTGATTAATTCGTCCAGAATGTAAATATTTGTTTTTAGTTCTTCTGAATTTCATGATCCTATCCGCAGATGATCTCTGGTAGAAGTAGCACCATATATTGGGTTGAATGTGGCTATTCACGATTTGTTTAATTTTGGTGAGCACCTCCTGAAATTGCTTAATTTTTGGACTAGTGCTTCCAGGGATATTTGTTGTCCATTTGTCCTTGTATGTGGTACAGTCATCTGAGATTTTTTGCTCCCTTCTGCGGCTTGCGTCTAACTTCTTTATTGTAGCCTGTTCTTTGTTGTTTGCTGTATGTTATTTGAGAAGAACAAGAATGTTGTTAATACTGATCTGCTATAAATTTTGTTTATTTATTCGTACAAAATATCTACTTTTTTACCTTTAATATTTTTTTAAAACACACATTTTTAAAGCTTGTAAATGTTTATCTGTCAACCAAAGATAGTAATATTATTTTTTTGACTGTAAAGTTACAGCTGGGATCTTTGTAGGTATCCAAAGGTATAAAAAATAGGGAGAGAAAAGTTATTTTTTTTGTTACCGTGTGATATCAGAGATAATATCAGAAATATTTAAGTTTTCCATCTGTTTTTAACATAAAATGTATCGGAGACTATGTGTTATAGGAGCACCTATAACACATAGTTCTATATTAGATATTAATTATTACCATTTTATAAGAAGAAAACATTTATTTTCAATAAAAATATAAGTAGTTAGAATCGTTGATACTTATTATTATATTTATTCTTTCAGAAAACACCATACCGACCAGATCTGAAATCCAGCCTGTAGTCGAATCGATCCTCGACACTATCCTCGACATGGCAGTAGAAATAATCGACAAAAACCAACTCCACCTAGAAACACTCCACGACAAACCAGACCGTCACATCGAACTTACTCGTCTGGTTCCCGAATATAAAAGCCGCATAAGATGCAATACTGCCGATACCATAACGTCACTTTACGTACCCAAAATAATGCAAACCCCTTCTAGTGATAATCTGATCGACGTTAAGAAATTCGTAGAAGAATACGAGGAGTACCATGACTCGTGTTCGGAGATACAAGATGCAGAAATAGCCATAGGACAGGTAAGAGTTTTCATTGAACAATACTGATATAGTACAACTTGAGAAAGTGCTATAGACATTAAGAGACCTAACAACTATTGGGACAAACTAGACTTCATGCATAATTCAGATAATATTTTTAATGTAATATGTAATATGGTAATTGCTAATAACATAGTTTCAATTATCAAAAAAAAAAACAAAATATCCTTCTTCTCCATTTCTGCTAGGATTTCATCGCTTCCAGGAGCTTTATTCCTTTTTATTTCTTTTACTGCTTTTTCTATTTCTTCGTGACTTATTTCGGGCATCACTTCTGAGTTGACATTTATTATCTGCCTTTTCAAGTTCTGCTTTGAGGAGTTAGGGGATCGTTTCTGGAACCATACAGATCTCCGTAGAATTTTTCAATTGAGTTTGCTATTTTTCTTATGCTATATTAGATTTACTTTTTTCTAGATATCCTTGTTCGTTTTTAACGGTTATTATGTTTTTCTTTCCTAGTTTCGGTTTGGTGCATTTGGGACTTTTTCTCTATGACTTGTTCTATACGGTCTTCTTGATGTTTTTTTAATGTCCTCTTTTATCTGTTTTCTTATTACTCGATTAAGTTCCTTAAATTCTGCAGTGTCTCTTTTGTTTTGTCTCAGAAGATCTTTTTTTGTTTCAGCATGTTTTGTGATTCTACACTTATTTTGAATTTTCGTTTTCTGTTAGCGGTTGCCACTTCTGAGCTTGCATTTTGTTATGACTTTATTAATTTCATTTAAGCTAAGTTTATCTAGATTTAACACTTTCCCGGGTTCAACTCGTTTTTATATTGTTCTGTATTAGATTTTAGTTTATCTATGTCTATATTCCAAGTTTTTCTAAATTTATTTCTATTTTTATTATGTTTTATCTCTAATTTGGCTCTAACCTTTCGGTGATCGCTACTTATTGACGCCGTATTTATTACTGTTACGCCCTGTATGATATCTGTTTTTAACACAGTATGTAATCTATTTCGTTCCGAGTTTTTCCGTCTGGGGATAGTTACGTCCACTTTCTTTGAGGTTTTTTCTTATAGAACGTGTTTATTGCATAGTATTTGTGGGCTTGTAGGAAGTTAACCAAGGTTTCTCCTCTCTCATTTCTAACTCCAGAGCCGAATTGTCCTATATAGTTTTCGATTTTTTCAAGTCGTCCGATCATAGCGTTGAAGTCTCCTATTATATTATCATCGTATACGTGATGTGATAATTCGTTCTAGTTTCTGCAATTTTCTCATAAAATTCGTCTATCTCTTCATAGGGATGTGCTGCGGTTGGAGCGTATATTTTATTTTTCCAGGAAGGTGTTCTCGTTTACATTTAGCCTAACCATTGCAATTCTTTCAGATATTCCTACGAATTGCTCTACTTTATGTGCATATTTCTTATAAATTAAAAATCCTACGCCATCTAGTATTTGTTCTTCTCGCCCTTTGTAATATAGGATGTTACTGGACTCTAGTCATCGAGCAAAAAGACAAAAGAGGGAATGTAAAGGTAGTGGGGGCAAAAATATTGTTAGACAGGAAGTGCTATCTTGAGAGGCCACTTTAAACAAGGAAAGAGAGTCTTTCCTTGTTTAAGAAATCAAATTTAGTTGGGTTATGTTCTTATTTGTCCCAACTGTCACATGAAATCTTATTTATATTGAAGTTTTTTAACAATTGTTTCACATTTTAGACTATTATCGTTAAAACTTTCTCGTCTAAGACACATTCTAAAATCTGTTTTATAGCTACTATTAATAAGTGTCGGAAAATTTAAATTTGGCGTATTCGCATTTCCGGATATGTCTGCCATCAGAGGCCACTTTTTGGTCTCTTTTTCATAACGATTAGATTCCCTCTTTTGTCTTTTTGCTCGATGACTCTAGTGTTATGCACTCTTTCCCTTTTTTTACCTTTGCTAGACCAATTATGTCCCATTTTAAGTCCTTGATGTCTCCTTTGAGTTCGTAGACTTTTTCATCTTTGCTTAACAATCTTATATTTAGAGTTGCGATGTTCAATCGTGTGATGTTTAGTGATTTCTTGCTTCCCTCAGATTCCTTGAAGCTGTCCTTTTTTCCAACGGAGTGGGATTTGCCATTACTGTATGGTCTACCCACCTGGGACCCATTATGTTTTAGATATAGCCATATTCCTTTTAGGAGTTTTTTTAGCCTTAAAACACCACGCAGCATTTACGTACCCTCAATAAATTCAAAACATTCTAACCCTGAAATTGCTGAATAAACCCAAATCATCACTTATTTAGTAAATGTTGCGTGCGGTAATCACCAACGAATTTTGCTTCGTCAATAAAAATTACTGAGACCAATCTTCAACCAACCAAGAAAGTAGGGATGGGAAAAACCTACGGTTGTTTTTTTTTGTCCCGGTTATAACCGGTTTTTATTTTTAAAGTAAAAAACCGGTTATTAGGTTTTTACGGTGATTAGGATTAGGTTAGGTATTATTTTGGATCTCAATCATAATTATTATTCTCAAGTGATTATTCCAAAAAAACCACCGGCTTTTGGAAAAACCAGTTTTTTTTCCGGGTATAACCGCCAGGTTTAACCGTAAGCAAAAAAAAACCGGTATAACCGAAGACCGGTGTTTTGTCAAAAATCGACATTCCTACAAGAAAGTTTAGATTTAGCTCACATGAGCCTGGCTTGCTTTTGATTTGCTGTTTAGTGGCTGTTTTTTTGCCTATAAGAAAATATAATTTTTAAAACTACAAGTTCATTTTTAAATTGTTACCTGTAACACTGTTGTCTACCTTATAAAACTTTGATTTATGTATTCACTTGTAACAACATTCCCTTACAAATTTAATCCAGTTTCATGATTCCATTTAGCTTGTAACTTTATTTCTTCAACCTTTTTTGCAAACTTTTTTTAATATTTTCTTATTTCTATCAGAATCTTGTTTTGGAAGACCCGGGCATTTACCTTTGTTATCTGAGATACTTCCTGTTTCCTCATAATACTTAATTATATTCCACACTGTGAGTTTTGGAATATAATGTAAAGTGACGTTCACCTGCAACTTCACGAATTGTTTTATGGCAATCATTTTTAATCACCAATTCACGACATTTTAAATTTGTAGACATATCACGCACCATTTTATTGAAATAGTACAGCGATTTGTTCAATTTCACAAGTAAAATATGGTGAAGTTTGTTGAAGTGTCCAACTGCATTGTTTTGGCAGCCGACTTGTCTTATCTTATTTGGTTTTTAGCAGTTTGTCCCACTATTTAGTTGACACTACTTTTTACATATTTTGATAAGTCTTATGACGTTAATAGATTATATGGGTTGTATAAAAAAATTAATTACGTTTTGTGATTATTTATCATTTAAAATTGCTTTCATGCTTATTTGGCATTATTATCATAATTATTAAAAGATAATAATAAATTAACAGTCAAACGCCTGAATTTGTCATACATTTTAATTTGTCTTACTATATAGTTGTGGCTCATATACTTGTTTTGATATCTCATAGATTTTCGAAGAGTAGCCACTTTTTAAATTGTATATTAGAGTTTTAAACTCTAAATCCAAAGTTGAAACTATGGACAGTATTTTTAAATTGTGGTATGTTGTTCTTTTTGTATACGCATGTTTGTTGTCACATGCATTACAAACGTCAAAATCTACATACTCCATTTTTTTCTTATGAAAAAAATTGATCTAATTGTATCACTTCAGATTTTTTACTTGGATCATTTTGATATTAATCATTCTACTTATTTTGTCTTAATATTTCTTGAAAAATGTTTTCACTTGCACTTTTCTAAATCACCCTTGCATAGCCCAGCACATTTTGTCTCACGTTTCTTAGCCGGATTCTATTACTAAAGTTTCACTCTAAACGATTTTCAATTAGTTTACCGCTACTATCAGCTCTAAATTTCACCCAAAACACAGTTTTGTCAAACTTTAGAATACATCAAACTCGGCGGGAGCCAAATCTGACGATCATGGGATGGTCTAGCATTTTATACTTAAATCTCATTTTCCATCGCTAGCCTATTCTATATGCGAATAAATTAACCTAATGAAACAAGATTGTTTGTTTTTGCAAAGTGATTTGTATGATGCAAACGTTTGTTGTTAACATTTTTTATTAGACTAGCCAAGAAAATGTGCATAAAAACACACAAAATAATTACTTATTCATTGAAAGGATTTGAAATATCTTTGAAATCCTGAAAGCCACTAGCCATAATCTTTCCATCAGATCTTCTTCTTAGGGTGCCTCTGCGTTCCGAACGCTGGCGATCATTTTGGCTATGATGGCTTTGTTGGTTGCTATACGAAATAGCTGTGTTGAGGTCTTTCTATACCATGCTCTCAGGTTAGCAAATCAGGATATTCTTCGTCCTGGGGCCCTTTTTCCTTCAATTTTACCTTGTAAAAATGCATTGAAGTAGCTCGTATCTGCCACGATTTCTTATCACATTTCCCAAGTACTGCAGCTTACGGCCCTTCACGATGTTGACTAAATCCGCAGTTGTGTCATGATATCTTCAGGATCCTTATGTATGACCATAGCTCAAAAACCTGAAGTTTTGATAGAGTTTCCGCCTTTAATGTCCACGTTTCTACTCCGTACACATAACATTTAAGAGCTCGGATGCAATTGTATTTTTTTTCTTCGATGAAGAACCACTAGCTTCTATTCACATATTTTTTCATTCAGCTGTAAGCGAGAAACCATGTTCCGTTGGTCGCAATAAATCGACATAGAATATGAGTTGAATTTTTTGTGAAAACGCAAAAACCTTTATCGGAACGTTGTAAATAGGACTTATCTTGTAAGAAGAGGCTTTTACATAAATGGAGATTGTAGCGTTAATTTTGCACTATGCTCTCTTCTTAGATACCTATAGTTTTAACTAGTAATATTACACACATTTTACCATCGATCACCGAGATGTACAAGAATACTACCCAAAAACTTAATAGTCTCAACTCCTATAGGTGAAGAACAGCAGTGCATTCAGAAGAATATATCGACAGCAGACTGCGTCTTTATAATTCATCAGATAGTAGAAAATTCCGTTGGATCCAACAGACCCTCCTTCATTTTCTTCGTTGCTTTAACAAAAACGTTATACTAATCTATCTCTCTCTTGTAGTTTCCCCATTACTGAGGATGGTGATTTCTTCCAATATTCCTAACAATTTTTCTCCATTGGTCGCTATCTTCAGCTGCTCTAAGAGCTTCGTAAAATGAGTTTCCAGCTGAATTCTTCATTTGGTTGGACCATCTAGTTGGTGATCGTCCTCTTGATCTTCTCTCCGGATTATTTCCAAAAACAATTAATCTCTCCAAACTATCGTCACCTCTGAGAATCAAGTGACCGAAAAATTGCGGAATACGTTGCAGACATATTGTGGACAGCCTTTTTTACAACATCTCAAGTTGGTTTAGAATGAACAAGTTTGTCCTAAGAGCTGTCCAAGGTATGCGCTGCATTCTTTTCCAGCACCGCATCTCAAATGCATCAATTTTTGGCTCTCGAAGAGTCCAAGTCTCTTATTGCTCTTCATTAGTTCTACTACTAGGCACAGGAATAAGACAATAAAACCATTTAAGCCCATTCCTGGACAATTTAGTAATGGACAAGTTAATATAGAGACTAGAAATGTTGAATTGGTGCCAGATATGAAACAGGAACAGAATCAATTGCTACGCAGACGATGCTGTACTAATAGCAAAAATTGTGAAGAGAGTCTACGGAGACTGTTATACACATTTAATTAGATTGCTAGAGAATTATTCTAATATCAATAGATAATCCAAATGTTGAACTATATAATGAATCAATAAAATATTTGAGTAGATAAAATAAGTCACTGAAACATCCACTGAGAAACAGCCACTAAAATAACTTAAGCAGCATCGTTACAGATGCGTAATATGCAAGAGACATAAGATGTAGAAACAAGCATCTTTGATTGAAAATAAAAACAAAAAAAACTGAATTCAAGTAATACTTACATAGGCGATTGAAATGAGAACTCATATAAAGACAAGAAAACAGAACTTCGGAATAGTAGAAAGTACTACATTAAGATCCTAGTACAGAAAACTAGTTGGCACCAAGTAAGAAACGAGAATATTCAGGCCATTGTACGATATAAGAAGGAACTGGATGAAACCATTAACGAAAATAAGGGATGATGAAATAGTCAAGAAAGATCATTGTAAGAAACTGAAGCCAAGTAGGTCTGAGACTACCAGAAAGACGATTAAGAGATTATGAAAGAGCTGGTCATGGGAATAGCAAATATGATTAAACATAATCTAGAAAATGCATGCCATTCACCTAACCTAAGAAGAATAAGTGTAAAAAGTGCCCTACCTTTTCTTCTGCGATAAAATATTGATTTCCGGTCACGTTGGTCACTTATGAAGTCCAATTGCTTGTTTCGATGAGCACTAAGTCTGATCTATTTTGTTCTATTCTTACTGATATTTCTTCTTTTCAATACAGATAATGATAAATTGTATGTGTTGTCTATTCATTCTTGAGGGAAGTAGACAAGAAATGTTTGATCATTTGTAAAATATTATGACAATATGGTGTTTATTGTACTTAAAAATCCACTAGGAAACTAAGTTCCTGTAGCTGGCTGTATACCATATATCACAAAAAATTTTTATTTCAAATCCTTTATAAAAGGTATATAATAAAATGCCCAAACGGGCTATCACAATTATATTACAAAACGTTTTCGGATTGTTAAATCCATCATCAGTGTAAACGAGGTATACATGCTATGAGCCACCAAAATATGTGGGTAAAAACCCTTTAAATGATATAAATTTACAGTTGTTTTACATTATAAAAACTTATAGAAACTTATTGTACTTATTATTTTACAAAAATTTATAACTTCACTATTGTTACTACTTTTTATTAAGAATTTCTTTAACATCCGTAATTAACTTATATATTCTATTCACTTTTAGGTAATGAACGAATTAAGTACAAAAGTGGATAGAATGATCATCGAAAAGCAGAAAAACAAAAAGAGGAAAGACAAATCGGTGAAGCATGGCGGTGTAATAAGTCTCATTCCGATTGAGACGGATTCCAACGCCGAAGATGATTCTGAGATCGTTCAAAATGATAAACGATTATTGGAAGTGAGTATGCTCTTTTTATTTATTCGAATATATACCAAAATAATAAGTGCAAGTGTTGGTTTGCATAAAATGCCTCTACCTATTTGCTTTGTAAACTTGACTACGAATCTTTGACATTTTTAACTTTATATTTATCATCAAATACAGCATGTTTTACTAGCACATATGTTTTAAATGCTAACGTTGCTAACTTTTACGATATTTTTAGATAGGGGCGAAATACAACATCCCGAAAAATTTGTTTTTGAGCACCGAAATGACAGAAATAACGGAACAGACCATTGATGAGTTGCATAGAAATGATGAAAATGCGGAAAATAATCCGGATATGGTCGAACAGAGTGTCGTGGTGGTGAATTTATCTAAGGAGGGAAAAGTCGAAGATGACGATGATGTTTACAAACCGATTGCCGTTAGTCCTGACGGAAGATTCTTTAAATATGAAGAAGAGGTAAGCTACACTCTATTACTTTATATATTGTGAATATATTTAATAAAACTGTAAGTGTGGGAAAAATGAAACTGTAAATACACAACCATTTTCTGTAGTGTGTGCGCTTAGTAAATGCTTTGTTGCTAAGTCTACTGCGGCATCTCAGACGCTAACCGATCTTTTTTTTAATAAAATAATCCTATACTCAACCTGATTTAAACGTATAACTTACTAAGCTTTCATTCCAGTAAGTTTCCGCTCTATCCACCGTGCTACCGAGCGAATTGGTTGATTTTATTCTATATGATGAAAGTAATTTGTAAAATGATTTAATTTTATGCTTTACTCTCTTTAATAACTTTGTTTACTATATCATCAATGAGGAAACTGGCAAATTTTTAATAATGAAGTGAATTTGAATGAAATAAAATAAATGCATCCACGGTACTTTAAGAGTGCGTTTAGAATTACTAAACTAGAGCAAAGGTTACAACGTCATGTAAGTACTAAAGCTATATGAAGAATTATATAGCTTTAATACTTATATCACGTTGTTCTGTCTTATCACCTAACCTAATCAACCAAGCCGCGAAGACAATGGGACTGCAGGTCAACGTATCCAAAACAAAATACATGAAGGTCCCGAACAGCACACACATAGCGGCACCACAAGATCTGGTGACAGAAGCACACATATTCGAAGGGGTCTCGGAGTTTGTATATCTTTGAACACAACTAAATAACAGCGACCTAGTAAGCGTAGAAATTAAGAGAGGAATATACCTGGCGAACAGAGCTTACTTTGAACTAAATCAGTTCTTAACATCACACAATTACCAGAAAAACCAAGATACTAATATATGAAACTCTTATTAAAACCTGCCCTGACATACGCATCACAAACATGGACTACGGTAAAAAAACGACAAAGAACTGTTAGGCCGCTTTGAAATAATACTTATGCCACATATTCGGAGAAGTACAAGAAAGCGGGATATAGCGTAGGCGCTACAATTTTGAGTTGTATCAATTGTATGAAAAATGCAACATCGTCCGGTCTATTAAAATTAATAGACTAAGATGGCTAGGACACCTTGAAAGAATGGACACTGGAGACCAGTAGAAACCAGGAAGAGAGGCAGGCGAAGATCTAGATTTAAAAACTCAAATCGAAGATGACTTGAGGAATCTAGGGGTCAGAAATTGGAAAGCCAGGGCGAATGATAGGGGGGAATGGAGACTAATTCTTGAACAGCCCAAGACCCACCCAGGGTTGTAGAGCCAAAGATGATGAAAGCATAAAATTAAATCATTTTAAAAATTACTTTTATCATATTAAACTGTTTTTATAAGTCTAATTTATTTTACTTTTTTCCCTTATTTCTAATTCACTAAAACACAATAATTTATATCAATTTATTATACCACTTATTCGATACAACAATTTATATTCGACTAACCGTTCTCTAAATAAAATGTTCCATATATATAAATAACCGTTAGTTCTGGAATCACGGCGAGAATCGATGACCTTCTATCGAAGGAATTCCATCAAAAGCAGGTTTTTTTATATCGGAGGGTGACCCATCGTTTCAGGTAGGTATTACCTGAAATTTCTGCCAGCTGGTAAAATCTAGAACATATCAGAATTAAAAAGAATATTTATGAAACATATTTATCGTAACAATATACTACATATCAATTACTAAACTAGAGCAAAGGTAACAACTTGATGTAAGTACTAAAGCTATATGAAGAATTGCACATTTAGAAGAACGTCTCATAGAAATAAATGCACTTAGATACCTATTATTGCTCTAGACCAGTAGCTCAGGAATGGCTGACTGCTACATAATAAATAGCGCTTTCCTATAGGAACAGTTTATGGTAGTATCAGGTTGTGTACCTTAAAGTCGTATTAACTACGTCCAGTCTGTCTATTGATTCAAGGACTTAGTGAGCAAGAAATTCAACCGTACGTTACCTTAACCAGATTCTTTTGTGATTCACAAGTGTGTAGAATCTGATATAGAAAAGATTCTTAACTTCCTGTCTCAAAAATGCATTTGCGACGCCCAAGCTGGTAACAGATAAGGTTTCTTATATGTCTAACACCAATCTGGTCAATTCTTTATGGCTGAATATGAAGACCTTCATATACCAGTAAAAAAATGCTGAATAGCAACCTATTTCGTTTCCTCTTTATCTGTTTATTTTTGAGTTTACCAACATTCACAATAAACTTTCGTTTTTGTAGATCGGTAGAGGTTCTTTCAAAACCGTATACAGAGGCCTTGATACACAGACTGGCGTTGCAGTTGCTTGGTGTGAATTACAGGAAAAGAAACTAAATAAGACTGAGCGACAAAGATTTAGGGAAGAAGCGGAGATGTTGAAGAAACTTCAACATCCCAACATTGTGAGATTTTATAATTACTGGGAATCCCCGGGCAGTAAGAAGAAGAATATAGTACTCGTTACAGAACTCATGTTGAGTGGTACATTAAAAGCGTAAGTACTACCATTTTATTTTTGAAATACCTATAATATTCTACAAAAAAATCTTCTGTAATTCGCTTTATAGAATGGCATGTTTCATATTGCTTAGAGCACATCAGAAATAGTGATAGTTCGATAATAAGTGACACATAAGTATTCCTGTCCATTTCGTAGTGAAATGTGCGTTAAAAAACCTGTCTTCGATCTATCACTATTTGCAGGTTTGACTTTAGATCACCTTGTCTATGAATTGTATTATATTACTGATAAATAACTCTCCTATATATGGTATAAAACATGATCTAGTAAATAGTAACGTGTTCTAGATGATCTAATTTTTTTAATTTTTGGTTTAAAGGAAGCAAAAAATAAACAAGTTGATTCCATTTATATGCCTTTAATGGCCTATTCAAAGGCTTGCTTCAATTACGATTTTCAATGAAAATTCAATGTTCGAAATCAATGACGATAAAATCTTGTTATGACGATGGTCAATTTTATCGTTGATGACATATGGAATAAGCACTAAAAAGAATATGCTAGTTGTATTTAACTTATGTATTTTGTGTTGTAGTTATTTAAGAAGATTCAAGAAAATCAACCCAAAAGTATTGAAATCTTGGTGCAGACAGATTCTAAAAGGATTGGCCTTTCTGCATTCAAGATCGCCGCCAATTATCCACAGAGATTTGAAATGTGATAACATTTTTATAACTGGAGGAACAGGGTCTGTAAAGATTGGCGATTTGGGTCTAGCTACATTGAAGAACAGAAGTTTTGCTAAATCGGTAGGACATGATCTAATTTTTTTTAATTAACGTTTTTTCAACTTTATTTTTTGTAAGGTAATTGGTACTCCTGAATTTATGGCACCAGAAATGTATGAAGAACATTACGATGAGGGCGTGGATGTCTATGCGTTTGGAATGTGTATGTTGGAGATGGCTACCAGTGAATATCCATATTCAGAATGTACAGGACCAGCTCAAATATACAAGAAAGTCATTTCGGTAAGTATATTTAGTCAAGTTGATTATTTATAAATATGTTTTAAGGACTCATAGTGGATCAAATATAAAATCAAATACTTAAAATATTTTTACTATTACTTACAACAATGTTTGAATTTTTCTTAACAAGCGGACTAAAACTGATCAAGTTTTAAAAAGAAAACAGTAGATTATAGAGAATTAAAATACTTTTCAATGAAGTCCCAATTGGACCTTTGCTTAGGAAGTTGTGGGGAGTAATACTTTTTGCATAAAAGCTATTAGTCCTCACAAACAAACTTAACATGTTTTAACTTTTTTCGCGATAAAATCTTTTTCCTAACGTCGTCCGGTATGTTTTTATTGGGCTACACTGTATAAGTGCGGTTTTCTAGAACGCTCCGTCACCGGAAACCAACCACTGCCCATTTTGGTTTAGATTCATTGCGAATAATTACTTGGTGGCGATGACTTAAGGTGCAGTTTTCACACCGCTACGAGCTTAAGGTTTGATATAGTCGCCTGTGACCACAGTCCTCCCAGTCCTTAGGCTATGGATCAGTATCTTGGTCCACTGGGCAACATCTTCTCTACTCTTCTTGCTATTCTCTATTCTCCATTGATCTTTTCGTTTTTATTTTTTATGGCTGTTGTCAAATGCTCTCTTCTCTCATAGAAATGTCTCCTGTCTACTGCTGACACATGCATAGGAACGCAACCCGTGATAGTCCACAAGGCCGTCGTAGATACAGTCCTGTAGGCGAAAGTTACTCGCAACAGACTCGTTCTGTCCACTCGTAGCATGAGCCCCTTGTACGTCGGTATCTCTACTACCCCACTCCAGACTGGTGCCTCGTAAAAGATGATTGACTGCACCACCTGTAGGGTCCTCCTCCTTTCTGATTTGGATATCACCCTTCCTCGCTCAGCCGCACTCTGCTGCCTTCCGGACTACCACCCGAATATACTCTCCCCAACCGCCACATTGGTGTAGCGTCATTCCCAGATATGTGACGCATTTTTTTTATGTTAGCTGTGCCCCTGCTCATTGGAGTTCCATCCCTTGCCTTTTTCGTTTATCCTACAGAATGATGGCTTCGTTCTTCTCTGCCGCGAGTTCCAATACGAGAACTGTCATTCAGTCCTTTACGACGTTATACCTTCTCCGTATTCGCAGTTCATGCTCCCGTCATATACGAGGTTCTATAGCGTCGGACCCAAGATCGATCCTTGTGGGACTTCAAACCGTTCTTAACCATGATCCTTCTCTCGGAAAGATGTTCCACCATCACTTTCATCAGATAGTTAGGGCACTCCCTCTTCTTCAATACCCGCATCACCTCTTTCTACTGCAGAGTCTTAAATGCATTTCTAACATCGAAGAGCAGCAGAGCCACCCAGCGCTGTTCGTCTCCAATGTTGTGCAATGCCCCGAGTGCACTCAAAAGTGTGTCAATTATGCTCTTCCCCTTGCAGAATCAGAACTATCTCAGAGATAGATGACGTCTTCGCAGCATCCTATCGTACAACTTCCCGATACATAGGAGAAGGCATATGGGGCGATACTTATCCCTAGTTTTTAGCAATACCAAACTTGATTTGAAGCATTTATTTACTCCAAAAGCCACCCAACTTCCGCGCGTCCTAGACCCTTTACCTCTGTGGGCGGTATCTGGTCTAGTACGGTAGACCTACGTGTCTTGAGTACACCTAATGCCTTGACTAATTCATCCACGGTAAAGAGTACATCCCGTTCAGCTCTCTCGTCCCTCCACAATCCATGCCTTCTGTCGTACTGAAAAAGCTCTCGTGTTACGTCAAGCTTTTGTCTATTTTCATGATATTCATTGACATTTCGTATGAGGGGTACGCATGGAACTTTTTCATTGCGATCCTATATCCCTGTATTTTTCTGTAGAGTTCTCTCTTTTATGTACGGTATTATATTTCTATTTGCTCGACGACTACAGAGTTTATCCCTGCTGTGCCCCTTGTCCTCATTATCCTTGTCCCCATGTAAGTAATAAATATAAAAATAATTTGGTGGAATGGTTGAGGAAACTACAAAAATGGTCTAGTCCAATCTCCTTTACAGATGTTCAACCGATCTGGAAGTCGGATTGAATCCTTAGGGGGGAAAACCTTAAACGAAAGGTCCAACCAATACAAATGCAATGCAAATTAACTCAACACAAAAAATATTCAGTAATTTCACGACAGAACACAATGACACAGTCTTTGTTCTACAAGATTTCTGGTTGGAATGAAACCTTGTCCTAATGACACGTAATAAGAAGGTTACAATTAAAATCGATTAGATTTCAAGTCTCGACAGTGCCCAGTTACTACAAATTAGTTTCCGATACATTATTCGAAATCTTGAGTTATAGATGATCACTCATATATTTTGGATGTATGTTAGATTGCCTACCAAACAGGCGAAAATAAATTTATATCCTATTTAAATAAATAAATGATTAACAAAAGATGATAAGTAACGTCGCGCTGTTAAACATTAAGTTAATTTTGTTTAAACAAACTTAAAATGAAGTAAAAACTTAATTTTTGTAAAATTTTATACTATTTTACGAAAAAGAAGTTTTTACTTCATTGTAAATTTTTTTAAACTATGTATATAGCTAACCACTGGAAATTTCTCTTTTAAATTTTAATTTTATTTATTTTTTTGTTGATCATTGAGTTGTTGAAAATATTATAACATCCTCTACAATTCCTGGTGGAGGTATTGAGCTTGAACAGTTGGTTTGTCTTCTACATATTGTTTTTGTAGTGACGGAATTGAAAGTGACGTATCCATTATGTTTTTTTGCTAATTCTTCCTCATCTGTACAATACCCATCTGTATTTTCAGACTTTTCCTCTTTTTGAGACATTCAGTTTAAACTATTGCCTAACCCTGTATTCTGCTGCACTTTTTTAGTTGGTCCAATTTTTGTTTTGTTTAACATCAAGACGGTTTCATTTATTTTTATTTTTCGGTTTCAGACTGCAGACATGCTTTATATAATCCTCTGTATTGGGTGTACGTTGATAATTATTTTCAAGCCTATTTTGTTGGACTATATTGACATCATTCACTGATGTTTATGTTAAAAACTTACCTTGATTCAATTACCACTGTCGCGATAACTTATGTCATTTAAACCGTAGATAGCACTGGCGATAAAAAATGATATATTGTCTTTGTTAATTGCTTCCGATGAAAAGAATGACATGATGTTCGGTGAGCAGAATACAGACAATCTAATAAGTTTAAGTGCTAAATGACGCCATGTATAAAAAAATTTGAGTTATCTAACTGTTATCATGGGATGCCTAGAAATTATGGACGGACGAACAGAATAATAAACAAGGGTGTACTCAGGATGAACATTTAATGAGAGCACTTTTGGAGGAAGTAGAGATAAAAAGAGGCGTAAGGCAAGGTTGCATACTCTCCCCTTCAATCTATTTTCGGAAGAAATAATTAAAAAATCACTCGAAAATGTAACAATTGGAATAAAAGTCAACGGCAGACATATCAACAATATCAGATATGCCGATGATACTATACTAATTGCAGAGAATATACAAGATCTACAGACACTCTTAGATAATGTAGTAAATGCTAGTGAGGAAAGCGGACTAACGCTTAATGCTAGAAAAACAAAATTTATGACAATTTCCAAACACAACAACAAGACATTTTAAACATAAGAGGGGTTCCAATAGAAAAAGTAAAAAAATACAGATATCTTGGTACAATTATTAATGAAAATAACGAGTATACAGAAGAAATAAACATGAGAATTGGACAAGCTAGAGCAACATTTTATAAGATGTGAAAAGTATTATGCAGTAGAGACCTTAGTTTGCAACTCAAAATAAGAATCATTCTGAAGCTATTTTCTTGTGGCATTTTAAATAATTTACTATTTAAATGAGAATAAGCCACAATTAAAAGTACGTTCAATTTCCACTTCGGAAATCGTTCTCAAAATACTAATATTTGTATTTTGAGAACGATTTCCGAAGTGGAAATTGAAACGTCAATAAACGTACTTTAACCTTTAATTGTGGCTTATTCCCATTTAAATAGTAATTAATTCAAAATAAGAATGTTACATTCATATGTGTTTTCGGTGCTTCTGTATGGGGTGGAGGCCTGGACCTTAAAGAAAGAGTTGAGCGATCGACTTGAAGCATTCGAGATATGTACCTACCGAAGAATATTAAAAATATAAGTTGGGTAGACCGAATAACAAATGTTGAAGTCCTCAGAAAGATGACAAAGGAAATGGAAATCATGAATACGATTAAGATAAGAAAGTTACAATATCTCCGCCACTTTATGAGAGGGGATAAATATGTGTTGCTACAAACCATAATGAAGGGAAAAATACAGGGAAAACGAAGTCTTGGAAGAAGACGCATCTCCTGGCTCAACAATCTGAGAAAGTGGTATAATTGCAGTTCCATCAACTTGTTCAGAGCTGCAATCTCAAAAGTGAAAATAGCAGTGATGATTACCAATCTCCTTAGAGGAGACGGTAACTAAAGAAGAAGAACGGGAACTAGAAGATATGTGGTGTATATGTAGAAACCCGTTCCAGTCTTATTTCGTCGTCAGTATTCATCTATTTTTTACAAATATTCTGGATAATATTCTCATATATGGCAACATTTCTGTAGTTCTTGACATTTCTGCTTTTATATCTGCTGTCTTGTCTTGATTGGTTCATTTTTACAAATATTTTGCATTATAATTTTTCATAATTTCATAACTTCACCTCAAGGAAAAAGTACAAATTAAATTTTTTATATTCTAGGGCATCAAACCTGCCAGTTTCGACAAAGTTCAGAATCCCGAAATTAAGGACGTTATAGAAAATTGCATCAGGCCTAGGAAAGAAGACAGGCCTAAAGTCAAAGATCTCCTCAACCACGCCTTCTTCGAAGAGGACGTCGGGTTGAAAGTCGAGGTGGTTTCGCAAGAGAGCAAGAAGATAGTATTTCGTCTGAGGGTCATCGATCCCAAGAAGAGGACTCATAAACATAAAGAAAACGAAGCCATACAGTTTGAATTCGATATGGAGATGGACAGATACATGACGATTGCGGAGGAGATGGTAAGCTCATTTAATATATTCTTAATCTTGTTTTTTTTTTAATTTTAGTCATGTGATTTTTTTATTATATTATAAAACAATGAAACTGTTGCACATGAATTACTCGACATTATTTTATACTTTAAAGGCAATCCATATTTTTTAAAAGATTGAAGTCAATGGCTACCATTACACAAGGTAATGTTTTCAGTAGGGTGACCTAGTTCACTCACCTTACTGAGAATATATGCAATTACTATGTGCAATACAACAATAAATATTATGTCGAAAAATAATAGATAACCTAAACATCAATTATATATATACTAAACGATTTTCTAAAAGAATAGGACTCTGGGTCCTAGGTGGGAGCATAATAGCACAAAAAAGGCTTCATCTTCTATTCTAAAAGCCTTCATATTCTTAAGGGTTGAATATGTACACTAACAAGAGTAAATGTACAGTATCTGAAGAATTTAACATAACCTTTGCAATCTTGTACCATCCTTGACAAACAACGTCTCATGTCTTTTGTTCAGTATGGGCTCTTATAGACTATATAATTATTTTACTTTTTTTTTGCATTTTCAATGATTTTATCCTTATTTACCTTTGCGTTGTTGCCATTCCTTTTTTATAGCATCTGTTGTGTCAAGCCGGTGTTCTGTGGCTGTGGACTCAGTATGGTGTCGTTTCCGTTTCTTGTTTTCATTATTTATTACATTTCATATTATTTTTCACAAATTGTTCTTTTCAGAACTTTTTAAGATTTTTTTGCTCCTTTATGAATCTTGACCAATCTTCTGTAAAGAAAGGTATAAGTATTCAGCCCTAAAGACAAACAAACAATTAGTAATGTTTTTAATTACTAAAAACTTTGAGAATGTAACTGCAGCTGTAGCAGAAGCAAGCAAAGATGACCGATTTCCATTAAGAAATGGACATCAGTCAATTTTCAAGTCGCAAGAAACATAACAAAATGAACCCAATTCGAGAAAATACTCGTATGAAAACTTATGACGCCAGCATTTAATCGTTGATTAGACGTAAAATGCACAATGTATCAGTTGTTTAACTAATAAAAACTTTGGAAGACCTGAATTTCTCATTGACTCTCATCAAGTAACTCATATCAAGCTTATATCTAATCGTTCGGTATGTGTAAGTGATTCGGTATCTTTAAAATTATAGAACCATGATGATATATGTTTTGATGATGCAATATGCCGATGTCGTTGCCTTTTTTTTGTGGTAACAGTTTGACCGAAGCTATTCTAAAACTGAACGTCGAAAATATTACACAGACTTTTTTAGCATTTGTATGTGATGGTCATAAAATAAAAATCAAGCCTAATTATTTTCCTGGAGTCCGGATTGCTCAGGTTTCGATGAACATATTTGTTGGCATGGATAAGGGATGTCCTGCATTTGGAAGTTATTATGGATAACTCTAAAAATAAGAAAATTAAAAAAAAACAAGAAAAAACAAGAAAATTAGAATATCTCGGACATATTACACGTGAAGAGAAATACACCTTGCTCCAACTGATTATGCAGGGAAAGATCCAAGGAAAGAGAAGCATAGGGAGGCGTAAAATGTCATGGCTGCGCAACCTGAGAGAGTGGTACGGATGTACATCAAATGAAATTTTCAGAGCAGCCGTCTCAAAAAACCGAATAGCTGTGATGATTGCCGACCTCCGCCGCGGAGATGGCACTTGAAGAAAAAGAAGAATGGATAACTCATTATCATGGAAATACCAAATATAATGGATGGTTCAAAAGGCCATTGACCAAGTACCAGGTATGTGTCGAACATGATAGGGAGCACACCCCACTTTTTTGCTCATCCTTTACCAAAGCTTTTATTAGATCCCACCGTGGCTATTTCACTCAATTTTACTTGATGACTATGTCAGTTCTTTATTCGAAGGTTGAATAGTGTAAAGTAATGCGCGCTCAGGATTGTGATGGGATATAAATCTTATTCTAGCGTATAATAACCCAATATGTTCATATAAGGAACAATTCGATAATACCCTCTTAATGCATTTAACTTTTGAAGATGGAAATGTTTTCCTCCAATATTGGCAGCTGTCTGTAATAGTTTACACAAGGCCTTGCAATTCCTTTTCTCACAGTATTTAGATATCTCCCCCATCTAATGAAATTATCAAAAGTTTTGTCACAGTATAATGAAAATTAGTTAGAATTTAAACTATCTTCACAGATGATTCAAGGATGAACAGGACAATGTCAGTATATGGGTATAACTAAAAGGTGCTACAGAATTAATTGCAAAAATATCCTTTTCTAATAATTGTATATGCTCAGCTGAGGTTTTTGCCACCAAAGCAGCAGTTGAGTTAATACAGCAGGATCACTTCAGGAAAACTATTATTTGTAGTGACTCGAAAAGTTCTCTGGAGAAAATCACCAGAACTAGTCATATAACCTCCACAGATTCCCTTACCCTTCATATAACTAGAAAATTATGGTAATGATAAAACTAGCCTACATCGTCTGATATAATTAAAGTAATTACAAAATGACGAAATCATCATTTGAGGTTGGGAGCTGTGAGTTAAGCTCACAAGTACTTCAGGTACGTTTCCTCTGCAATCAATAAATACATACAGGTCTTGGATGAATAGCCCTGGAAGCTAAAGCTATCAAAAAAAAAGAATAAGTGTTGAATTAATTTTTGTACACTCCTGTAAATTTTACGTCAATATGTCATCAATGACAGTGGCACAATGGTTTGGCAGCTCGTTTATATTAAAATTTCAAATGCTGTTTGACGCACAGATTCTTTTTGAATTACTTTATTACTTGAACCGACAATCGTATTTAGTTTTATTAATATGTGTAAGTAAGTTGATTGTTTTAAGACATACTGAACTCTTTAACTGATTTAGTCTTTATGTATATATCATAGCTAATTTTTCTATTTTCGTTTAGGCAAAGTCTGGAATAATATTTGAAGATGATGCAAAGACTGTTGCACAATTATTAAAGACCCAAATAACTCAAATTACGAAGGAAAGGGAAAAGAAAACCAAAGAGGAGGAAGCTCTGGCTCAACAGTTGCAGTATCAGCAATATTGCATACAACAACAGGTACATTATTTTTAGTTCTTTTTTTTTACTTACATATTAAGCCTTTCTGCTCTTCTTTTATTTTACCCTATATTTGTTAATCTAAGGCTTTTGCTAATTCTGTCGAATTTATACATAGGTCGAACAGCAAATGTCTCAGCAACAGCAACAACAACAGCAACAGGCACAAACCGCAGTGCCTCAACAACCTCCACAGCCTCAGCAGCAACCCCAACAGCAATCTCAACCACAAACAATGACGGGTTATCCTCAGGCACAGCAACCTCCGCAGTACACCCAACAGCAGTCTTATCAGCAACAGAGCTATTCACAAGGACAAACTGTTATACAAGTAAGTAAAAAATCATATAATGTTCCATTTGTATAGCAGCTGGGCTTTTAATCTTGTGATTTATGTTTACATACATTATCTTTTTATCTGTGATATACTTAGTTATTTTCCTTTTTTTGCCCCTGTTCATTGTTACAACTTTCTTTGCGTCATTTTATTTTTTTTTCCTTTTACATATCGATACATTTTTGGCAAAGTAACGTAAGTCACCAAAAACGATTTGTAGAAAAAACAATTTTTTAATTCAACCTGCTTAAACTTATTTAAATTATGACTGAAAAAACTTATCCTACTTGTCCTAAAAAAGGTTTAAAGTAATTCTAGGCTTACTACACTCTTTCAGTACCTTTTTAACAGTAATAGCATTAGTTTAATTGAAAAACATTATTTTCGCCAAAAATGTCACTTACATTACTTTGCCAAAAATGTATCGATATTGCTTAATTTTTGCTTTTCTTTCTCTTTTAATTTTTTTTGTGCTTAAACCTTTCACTTTAAGGATTTAAGGATTAATTTTTTTTTCGTTCAGACCAATGAACAGCAACAAATGCAGTATCAGCAAGAACAACAATATCAACAACAACAAAGCATAGAGCAACAGGCTCAACAACAGCAACAACAACAGGAACAGGTTCAGGCTATGCAAAACCAGTATATCCAACAGCAGCAACAACAGCAGGCACAACAGCAGCAACAACAGCCTCAACCAACGCAACAAGGGGATGGAACAGTTATTTATCAACAACAGCACTCTATTATGCAGCAACCGGAGCAACAGCAAGCTTTTCAACAACCACAGCAGATACCGCAGGATCAGCTTCAGAATCCCCCAGTAATACAGAGACAAACTTCTGTAGAGCCAGTGCAACAACAAACTATTATTCACAAACAGTCCGCTCCGACTCATTTTGTGCAGCAAAACTATTTGGAAGGACAACCGCAACAGGCTGAGTACCTACAGGTGAATTAGTTCTCTTTTTTATAAAGTGTCTTTATTATATAAGATATTTTATTTAGGTGCAGGCTCAGCAGCAGCAACAACAACAACAGGACACCCATAAAATATCTAGTGTATCTCAACCTGAATTGCTTCACCCGGCTCCTCAGCATCATGAACACAGACTAAGCGTTGATAGTCAAATGGATAAAATTCCACCAGGAATTATGCAAGACCAGCAACAGTCTCTTGCCAATTTCCAACAGACTTACCAACAACAACAACAACAGCAGCAACCGACATATGCACAAGTAGTGCAACACCAGCCCCCAAACTATCAACAACAACAGACTTATCAACAACCTGCGAGTTATCCACCTCAGCAAACTTATCAAACACAAGACAGTCAAAATTACCAGCAGCAGAACTACCAGCAGCAACAAAGTTATCAGCCAAGTCAACAGGAACCCATGATGCATATTATTCCAGGTACTATGACTCAGATTCCTCAGGAAATGGGGCAGCAGTATGTACAGCAACAACAGAGCTTTCCTCAACAGCAGACTCAACCACAAGCTACTTATCAACATGTACCACAACAAACTCAACAACCAAATTTCGCGAATCAACAGTCTTATCAACAGAGTTATCCTCAACAAACAACCCCTCACCAACAGAGCAGTTACCCGACACAACAGCAGCAGCAACCTCCCCAACAGCCCACTTATACTCAACAACAGCAAGTTAATTATACACAGCAGCCGCAACAGACCTATCAAGGACAACCGTATCAACAACCAGAACAGCAACAAGTTTATCAGCAACAGTATGTCCAACCCCAAAATATCGATCATTCCCAACAGTATATTCAACAACCAATAGAACCTACTCAACAGTATATGCAACAGCAAAGTATTGACCCTAATCAACAGTATATGCAACAAAAAATAGAGCCTACCCAGCAGTATATTCCCCAAAGTATTGATCCTTCACAACAAGTTCAATCCATGGAACAGACACAGCAACAGGTTAGTATTTTGTTTCTTTTTTAATACGTTACAATAAACATGTTTATTCTACAGCCACCTCAGTATATTCCTCAGCAACCCAGCCAACAACAGCCAATACCACAGCAGGTAGTACAGAGCGAGCCTACCATGAGCGTCGGTACGCCTCCCATGAACCTAGTAGAACTTCAGCAGAAATTAGCACAACAACACATGCAGGCAACTAAACCACCAGAACAGCATCGAACTTCGACCGTTTCTTTACCTCCGATGGCTAGTTTCGAGCCAGCAACAGATCATAGGAGACTATCGACTATTTCTCAACCCGCTTCAGTACAGGATTACATACAGAGTTCGATCCAACAACAACATATTACGGAAATACCTAGTCAAGAATATGTTCCTCAAGTCCAGGCAGCTCCAGTAAGTTAATTTTATTATTATTATCACCTAGTATGCTTTAAATGTCCGATATATTAAACTGATGTAGTACATCATTGGATTTATTGAAGGTTTCTCCAATATGGATATATTTTGTGACTTTCTGTAACTATCTGGCATTTTATTTTTAACTACTATATTTATAGGAATACAAGCACCGCAATTTGATTCGTTTAGAGAAGTAAAATCTTTTCGTTTTTTTTTAGTTTCCTATTATTTAATAACTATTATTAAATCTTTTCATTCCATCACTTAAGCATTGGTTTAGACCTATTTTTATATCTTATTGGTAAATTATTATGTTTTAATATACGGGTCCTGTTTCTTTACGACTACTTTGCAAGTAGTTTGTAATCTTTTGTATACTGCCTAGTCATGCAATATTATTCTTTATATTTCTACTGTTAAGATGCCACTTTAGATTTGAACAATCTAGATGTTTGTATTTTTCCTGGTTGAAATGTTTCAAATCTTCTGATGGTGTGTTTGTTTTGCTAGTTTTCTATGTAACAAGTAGCACGAGAAACATTTGATACATATTAAGCTAAATGTGTCAAAAAGTGTTAACTAATTCCGATAATGGAAGATTCTTCTGGCGACTGGTGTGCTTTGATCCTCATTCTGACCAGTTAACAAGAATTAACGAAAAAGAATACAAGCGTTGCGTGACAGATTCTTAAGATATAAGTTCGGCCCAACTATTTCTGATCATTCTGCACAGTTCCTAAAATAAACGAGTTGCTGAAACCAGCATTGATGCGGGATGAGGTAATACTGCGTGGATTATTCAGCCGACTGTCTATTGTAGAGTTCAAACATTTGTTAGGAAAAGTAAAAATCACCAATTTACTCATTTATATCAGGAATGGTAAAAATTAATTAATTAAATAACATATTCAAAGTAAGTACGTATTTTCTAGTTATATTAAATATGAAAATTGGATACAAAAAAGTTCGGATTTAATTGGTAATGAAGAATATAAAATTAAGAAAAGTTATACACACTTTACAATACAGTGCGAATGACAAACTTACTTATCAAATACAATCCGTAAATCTCAAAATAAAACGAAAACAATTTGGCAATAAGTGTAGTGATTCTACAAACCCTCCTACACACAGCATTTTGGTCCTTCCGAGCGAACATTACCTATGGAAGCGAGACAGAAAGTGTCACCAGACGAAGTTGAAATGTACAAGGCGCCGACATACGTCAGACAAGATCAGTCTGTTCTATTATACCACACTTGAATTTACAGTGTTTTTGACCCCTCCTCGTTTATCCAGGCTTGGGACCGGCAACAGTTATGTCGAGCTACTCGATCCACATAACAAAACTGCAGGCGGAGTTATATATTGTTTTAACATTAAATATCTATTTTCATTAATTTTACTATAATTAGCAAATAACCTTTTGTGGGTCTGTATCTTTTATATTATGTAGCAAAACCAATATTTTATATAAACTATTTGCTTTTACCATTGCACTTACCATATGAAATGTTTTGTTAAAGGTTCCGGTCTCACAGTACCAGGAATCTCAACCTCTAACCGTAGAAAACGTGAACGCCCTTCCGGCATACCAGACCCCGTTGGAGACGATCCTATCAGTCGAATCTCTCAGTCACAAACCGTCGCAGGAAGTCATCAACGCCGTCCAAGAATTCGATCTAAACGAACAACAAGTAAGTCAAACTCGAGACATCTCCTCGACTTCTTCAGATGAGAAGCCTAGGAGAAAACGAAGCTCTCTAAAGTACCAACTGATCGTTGACAACGTTCAGCCCGACGGCATCGTCGAATGCCAGCTACTTTGCAAACAGAAATCGGTTAGTTTTAAGTTTAACAGATTTGAAACCAGGCCCTCGGATATCATCGAGAAGATGATCAAGCAGGAGGTGTTGGATGAGCCGCACAAAGAGCTGAAGGACCACTTACAGGACGTTATCGATAAGCTTAATGCGCATCCCGATAAAATGTCTGAAGCTGGTAAAGTTAAACAGTGGACGTACGTGCAGAAGGTATGTAGTCTTTTAGTGAACTTAATGATTAGCCTTTCGGTGTAGGATTTTGTTGTGGTAATTGGAGGGTTAGAGATGAATTTGACTAAAATGATTGCAGATATAGTTTTCTAATAATGTGAAATCGATATCGGGGAAAGATATGGGAAGTTTTTCGGCAATGCTAACCAGATTCGTTTTAAATGTGGAAATTGCACTATTTTTTCATTCTCTTCAGGAGGACGAACATTTTGTCGCAGTTAAATGTCTACTAATGGAGATAATGAAAGTACAATTTTTAAAACAGAAACGCTGGAACGCCAAAACATTACAGATTACAGTTTTTGATACTTTTGATTAATTTTCTTAAATTTTTTATTAATCGAGGTGTCTTCTTATGCACAGCAAATAAATTATTGGGAATCCAACGACTGCACCGCTTTCTCATTTCGAGATTGTTTTTATTCGACGTTGCCTATGTCTCACTAGGTAATCATGCGGCGCTCAGCATCAATATTTTCTGGGACAACTGCTGTGACCGATGACCTTCACAGAATTGATCACTGAGGCGGGTATATCCAGATTTGAATTCCTCAAACCATATTTGATTAGTTGATGAGCCTGGTGCTCTATCACGTAAACCAAGATGAAGTCGATCTGCGCTTTGTTGTTTCGTTTGGCCAATTTTAAAATTGTTTAAAATCATCGAACGAAAATTTTCAAAGAAATTTCCATTTTTTGAAGAGTGTCAATGTTGCTTACCATAAGAAATGTCAAAAAATTTACAAAATAGCGAAGCCAAGTATCTTCCGCTAGATTGCTATATGCAAAACTTAGTATACTCCTGAGATAGATTATTTAAACTCTTTTTGAGTCCTGGTCCAGTATTGTTATCAACCATTCTGATCCGTTTTGTACTTTTTTTCTTGCCATATTTAAAATCCACTGAAAATGTTTCCAGGCTTTAATTCTCATCTCTACTGCTACATTACAGCAACACGGACTTTTAAAAGACCTGCCTACTGTCAAAACAGCTATCTTTGTTGGCCTTAAACTCTAATATAACAATGAACTGAATCTGCAATCAATTTAGGATTTAATTAAATAGTTTTATTCTGAAATATTAACATGTGTAAGCAGGTTTATAAACATAATCCAATAATATTTTGCTTTCAATGGGGTTTATTGATGGTACAATTTATAGGCAAAGTAATCTTTGTCTCCCCTATAAATATTTTTCGTCTTTCCAAGGCGACATCGAAAAATATTGAATAATATTGTTAAGGGGGAACAAAAATACTGGATAAGATCTTTTAAATGGTAAAACATTATGCATTAGCAAACAAATCAATTAGCTATATATGGGTGTAGTATCAGCAAATTGAAAAGCACTTGATATTTATTCACATACTTTAAAAAGCAAATGTCACTTAATAATAAATGCACAGAAGCCATACGTAGAAAATATTCTATGAATCATCTGTGACTTGATATTTGATAGTTTTTTTTTTTAGAAAAATTCGTACAAGTTGGTAATAAAAGTATAATACTTTTATCTGGTTTGAAGCATTTTATACTTATCGCACCTATAAGGAAACAATGAGACAAGTGTAGATTTTTCACAAATTGACTTATTAACACGACGATGTTCTTAAGAGTTGTCTTTATCTAGGGACACACAGTCAGAATTGTAACTCTTCCCTATTTCGCTAGATGTTGTGTATGTCGTTGCTTCATTTCGATATTTACCTTCTCTCTTGGTGCAACAAAGTCAAAGACACGAAATGTATAGGCTGACGTGGTCTGAACTGACGTGGTCTGAGCGGTGTGGGCGGGAGGTCGTTGAAGTAGGGGTCGCCATGTTGCCGGCAATCATTTCGTGTCATCGCGCGTATTTAAGCTGTTAGGTCGTTTTTCGATTTCGATAGCTTCACGAATGATTCTTGATTTTAAGGAGCGGATGGGGGCGATGGTTTTTGCTTTTTCGAAGTCTATATTGTGGCCTGTTTAAATATGATGTTGGGTTAGGGCTGAAGTAGTATCGGAATGTTTGACTGATATAGAATGTTCGTAAATACGGTTATGGATTCGTTGGTTTGTCTGTCCAATGTATGTACGTGGGCAACTGGAACAAGGTATCTCGTAGACACCATGGTCTTCATTAGGGATTTGGTCTTTTACGGATCTGACGAGATTGGACAACTTGGAGTGAGTAGTGAAGATGGTTTTGATGTTTAGAGGAAGAACAGTTCTACTGATTTTGTCAGTGACACCTTTAATAAAAGGTAGAAAGATTTTGGGTTGATTCGGCGGCAAGGTTTCTTTTTTGGTAAAAAAAAAAGTATGTATTAGACATGCAGTGTTTTATAAGAGATAGTGTGTCTTGGGGGATTTGATGTTTAGAGTCCAAGATGGAAATGGTTTCATCGATGGGAATGTTGGTGAACAAAGAAACAATGTCAAAATAACTAATATATCTGAGGGTGAGATAGAAATATTCTTCAGAAGATCAATGAAATGAAAAGAGTTTTTGACAAAAGACGAAGCTTTTTCGGCTAATGGTTGTAAGGATATAGCGAGATCTTTTGCCAATTTCTGAGTGGGGCAGTTGTATGCACTGACGATGGGCCTTAGAGAAACATTCGGCTTATGGATTTTTGGAAGGCCGTATATCTTTGGGATTCGAGATGACTTTTCTGTGGGTATAAGAGATTTTTTGATGTCTGGAGGTAGAGTAGAATTATTTATAATGGATTTGGTAGTTTTTTCTAGATATGTGGTGGGATCGTTTGGGACGCGTTTGTATTCTGTGGAATTGAGAAGTTCGAACATTTTGTCGAAATAATTAGAAGAGTTGAGAATGACGGTGGCATTACCTTTGTCGGCCGAAAGAATGACAATGTCAGGGTTGTTATAAAGTTCTTTGAGGGCACGTCTTTCTGAAAGACTGATATTAGACGGTGGGGGTTTGGAAGTATGGAGAATTCTGGCAATATCTTGTCTGACAATTTCGTCTTGGTCAGAAGGGAGATGAACTGAAATAGCTTCTTCAGCTTGACAAATAATTTTCTGTGTTGGTATGGAAAGAGGAGTGACAGAAAAATTGAAGCCTTTTGATAGAGCTTTGGTAGCAGAATCGGCCTGTTTGAATATGATGTTGGGCTAGGGCTGAAGTAGTATCGGAATGTTTGACTGATATAGAATGTTCGTAAATACGGTTATGGATTCGTCGGTTTGTCTGTCCGATGTATGTACGTGGGCAACTGGAACAAGGTATCTCGTAGATACCATGGTCTTCATTAGGGATTTCGTCTTGTACGGATCTGACGAGATTGGACAACTTGGAGTGAGTAGTGAAGATGGTTTTGATGTAAGCGAGTCAATCAAAACACAAAATGTTAAGAAAGCATGATGCTATAGTTACAATTTAATTTCAGTATTCTACAAATGCTAGAATATTCCACAGGGTGATACAAACTTTAAGGAAAAAACAGTTTGATTCGTACACCCGGTATACAATGAAAATGTACCTGTTTAGCAACAATATTATTATAAAGGTATTGTCAAAATCTAAATCGGACAACAGGTTTAGGAGATATAAGAAATCAAAAATTACCCATTTTTAAGGTGGCCGGTTAATTTTGGCCCAGAGTGTATATATATGTATAATCGTCACATTGATCCAATGACCAATAATAGAGCCGCCGGTATGTGCTTGCGTTCAATGATAATTGAATAATTTTTCTAACAGTTATTTTCCATTTTAAACTTATTAAAAGCTTGTACAGATTTTTTTATTCATTTTAGATGTTAATACACGAATATCTTCATCTCTATTAAAAATCAAAACATTTAAAACTTTTTTAATTATTCTTTTTAACAAACATTTAAAACTAATAATATATTTTCTTTTCCATAAAATTAACATAACTATTCTCTTTTCCAACTAGATTGTCTTGTGATATAGTATTACGCTTCATAGGTTTCAGATGAGATTTTTTATACAACTAAAATAAAATCCGTTAGATTATCAAGATAATTATTAAAGAGTTTCTTGCAATTCTTGCACGCATTGAAGAGTTTTCTTTTACGTATTTTTCAATACTCTCATCGACAGTTTCTTTTATTAGTTGGGCATCCATTCTTAGACATTTTAGAGACTATTTACGGTCCCTTATTGTTGAATCATTCGAAACTAAGGTAATTTGTAGATTGTTTATTTCATGTCATTGTGTCTTCAATTTGTATTTTTGGGTAGAGCTAATCTAGCTTCCTTTATTTGTTACAATAAACATATATTTGTAAGCAACACGAATGCATTTAAAAAAAAAATTCCCGGCACATATCAACTCTCCCATTTCTCATTTCCTTAGTGCTTTCAATCGAGGATAATCGGCTCAAGAAAAGTAAGTGATTTCGCAATGATTGTCTTTAAGGTCAAAAAAGTGCAGAACTGACTTTAAATTTTCTCTGAAATTTCTCTAAATCTGGAAAAATTTAGCCCTTTCGGGCTATCTTGTATCTCTCTATAATATTATAAAGCTTCTGAATGATACATAACTCATATTTCCTTAGATATGAGAACAATGAGAAAAATATCAACTATTTGAATATCTACAAAATTTTATAACATCATAAACTTTCATATATGTCGCTGCACGTTGTCAAACATGCACAATAAAGTCAATCATTAATTCTTTGCACGCTGCAATAAAAAGGTTAGGCATGCCTCACTCACAAGGCACTCCCACAAAAAAACACATCGAAGGCACAGATCGGTAAGTACTTACAATGTAAGAACGACGAGAAAATGTTTAGTAATAACTGTAGTAGACATTAGTTCTTAGTTTTTCTGTTTGCAATGTAGACTTTAATATTTGTAGCAATATAAGAATTCCCAAACTTATCTCCAAAATATTTAATCTTATACAAAAGTACTGTACATGAGAGTAACGTGAAAAGTTCACTCTTCGAACAAATATTATATTCTCTCTCTATAAACCTCTAGAATCTAACGAATTTGCTTCCTTCTCTCTAATTTTTTCGTCGATCTAGTCAATAATGTATGCTTATATCATCCATTAATAGTTTGACCCTTTCGAAGGTTATTATTTGAAAGAATTCTATTATGCGAAATAATACTTGCAAGCAATTGTCTTTCTTTCTTCAAAAGCCACTGGCTTCTTCCAACTGCTTGGACTGATGTGTGCGATTTTTATCTCTAAGTAACTCATCGCTTTTTTAATTCTTTCATCTACTGTTAAAGAATATTTGCGGAATATCCTCCATTAATTTTTTGACCCACTCGAAGGTTGTCCTTTGAAAGAATTTCATTGGAATCACAAAAATACTAACAAGCTGTTATATATAACAAGTTTCTTCAAGTGTCATTGGCTTCTTCCAATTTGGAGTTTTGTGTTGATGCAGTTGTAAATTGATCAATCCACTTTTTATTTTTCGCAACAACTTGTTGTAAAAAATCGATTGGGATATTTTTGAAAAACAAACATCTTCTGGGCAACATCAGAATTTGTTAAATACGTCAGTAATCTGCACAAAGCTCTGTTATACTGACCTCGTGTAAAATGTGTCTTTCTTCCAAAATTTTTAGTCTTATCTACACCCTTAGTGTTGGATCATCTAAAATCTAGCATTTTTCCAAATCATAAAACTCGTTTATTTTCAACAGCTGCTCAACTAACTACAAACTCTTTCCTTGATCAAATTCTTATCATATCTTCAATAAGATAAAACAAGTAGGAATTAAGTTTAATCAAATGTAATGGCTCATTGGAAATTACAGCTGTCTTTGGATAATAAAATCCTAATATTAAAAGCTGTATCCTACTATAAAGGCCAATATAGGAGCTATGGCATCAAATTATGGAGCACTGCGATCAACAGCAATATCGAGATTCTGCAACATTTCCAGAATAAGGTAATGCGCACCATAGTTAACACACCCAATTAGGTATTAGATAAAATTATCCAGCATGATATTCCAATTGTTTCCATTAAGGAAGTGATTTCGGAAGTTTCTGAGAGATATCGGAAACGTGTAACAACATCCTAATGTGCTAGCTAAACAAGTGTTTGATAGGAGTTATAAAATTCGAAGACTCAAGAGACGCATACTGTTATTACCTAATAACGCCTAATTAACTGATAGTTTTATCCCAGATTTAGTTATATGGTTCTCACTTCCTCTAGGGAACAACTTACTCATCAGAGATACCTTCAGTATCAAAGGGATTGAGCTGTGGTGGGGCTATCTGTGTTATCGAGCCCTAGGTGACTTGGTATGCTGGAATTTCTACCAAAAATTGTTGTACACATCTGGATGTCGAGAGTCATCATCATCTCTGGCTCTACAACCCTGGGTGGGTCTTGGCCTGTTCAAGAATTAGTCTCCATTCCCCGCTATCTTTCGCCCTGGCTTTCCAATTTCTGACCCCTAGATTCCTTAAGTCATCTTTGACTTGAATTTTGAATCTCGATCTTGGCCTGCCTCTCTTCCTGGTTCCTACTGGCTCTTGATAGAATATCTATCTTTGGGGGTCTCCAGTGTCCATTCTTTCAAGGTGTCCTAGCCACCTTAGTCTATTAATTTTAATAGACCGGACGATGTTGCATTTTTCATAGCATTGATACAACTCAAAATTGTAGCGCCTGTACCATGGCTGTTGCGCTTTCTTGTACTACTCCGTATATGTGTATAAGTATTCGTGTTTCAAAGCGACCTAACAGATCTTCGTCGCTTTTTATCATAGTCCATGTCTCTGACGCGTATGTCAGGACAGGTTTAATAAGAGTTTCATATATTAGTATCTTGGTTTTTCTGTTAATTGTCGAGAGTAGTACAGCTTTATTATATTTTCAAGAAGGTTTTTCGGAATAACACCAGTAGTAGATAGAGTAATAGGTACTGTCTGGGTACTTTTCATTGTACATTGTCTCCTTATTAGTATTTTTAGATATCTGTACTTGGTACTGCGATCTTTTCATTGTATTTAGCATTTATTAGGTATCGCTACATCAATTAGTGCTATTTGTCTCGTTAATTTAATAACTGTGTGAAAGCTGGTCTATTATGTGCCACTGTTTGACCTGTGACCACATTGCGGTCCCAGTATAGCTTGTAGTTGTCATTCTCAGGCATACTCTCAGAAACCTACTGATATGTGGGAGATGCTTGATTTGGAGAATTTCCAGTTTGAGAGGATGAAGGATCTTTTTTACTAAGTCATGTCATTTCTTATATTCAGTTGCAACAAATGCCTGGCAGCCTCCGGTACCAGGTTGGATGATTTCTTGGGATTGATATCCATATCGGAATTTGTCGCTTTGGACATGAGGTCCTTTGATAATATATGTTAGGTAATTTTTGATTGGAGTAACCTGATCCTGAATGCCGAGTAAGAAACCTGTTTCAGAGAACATATTTATTGATGTCAACCAATAATTCGAAGCCGTACTGTCGATTAGTCTTGACTGACTTCATTCGGACGTTGCCCATGTAGAGGTGTACTCTTCCAGGTGCGGATTTTTTTTCCTTAAAATGGTGATTTATGGGCAATTCTGGTTCCCTCAGTTGCAGGGCAGTGTTGCGTCATCTACTGCGCCAATCGCGCGATATAAAATTTATGTTTCAGCCTGCATTCGAAAATGAGTTCATAAATTTGCAATTGCTCATTTATATCCATAAGTCCTCTTCCTCCTAAATACCGTAGTAATGGTCTTTCAACTGCACTACAAGGATGATGTTTTTGTGCTTTCATGAGGTTCGTTCGTTCTTTTCGCTGAAGATTTTCTATATCCGTTTTAGTCCACTCCAAACAAACAAGGGAATAGTAAAACGCGGATAGTTAGTTTTAATATCATTATAGTGTTTACTAATCTTACCAACTAAGGTTGATTTGGTGGATTATTGTCTTATTTGACAGATTTCTGATAAAGGAAAAAAAATCTGTGTCAAGGCCACGAAATTTTCACCTTGTTCTCATAGTACAGTTAATCTAGTAAAGACCCCTCAAACTATTTTGTTTTATGAATACTACAAAATAGTAATTTTGGGAATCTCTTAGGAATATTTAGGATGTATTGAAATTGTTTCTTAAAGTTAAATCTCGACTATTACAAATATCCGTATTAATGTTCATATGTTGTAAAAGTACCATCTACTAACATTTTAGAAGTAGAAATTTTGAAATAAGTAGAAAATAATCAGTAAATAGATTTCAATGGTGATAGAGTTATCCATTTTTAATTGCCTTAAATCATTCTTAGTTCTTACCAAATATTTAGCTTAACATATTTATGAAAACATTTTCATTTACATCCTATAAGTAAGATACAATACTTTATACTACATGGAGGAGTCTTAAAATGTGTTCCATTGTTCGATATATTAATATTTATTAGTAATATTTATCAACTTTTACATGTCCCAATATAAAAATATACACATTGAAACAGATGTTTCAATATGCATATTCTTTTCCCCTTAGTTTATTATTTATTTCAATTGTATCGTTTAATTGAAGTGTCTCGTCGCTTGTTATTAAAAGTTTTTAAAAATAACCGATATAATTTTGACTAAGAAAAGGCAATTATGAAAAGTACTGTTCTGAAGTACCAGGATCATCAAGAGTTATCCCTCATTTTCAACTTCCAATAAATATCGGGTGTAGCACTAAAAGAAATAACAAATAATAATTGTAACATTTTTGGGTAAAGACCTCCCTTTGCTACATTCACTTATCTTTAGTGCTTTTGTTGCCATCTTGTTCGGGTCAAATATACCCGTTTGAAGATATTGTCAGTTTTGTTCTATTATCTGGAACCCGTTTGTTCCTATGGAACCTTATCATAGCAAAAGTAAATTCTGCCAAAGCTACTCTATGATCCAGTTAATATGCCGCATTTAACTTTTATTATGAGTTAGTCCTTGTTCCTAAAATTCTTATATGTATTATATATACTACTATTACACACTTAACAAATTCTTAATACTCACGTTATATTCTTGATATATAGAACATAATCACATTTATAATTCATAACCACAAGTAGGCAATTACCGTTATCTTTCTAAAGAACTTGTTGTATGCCACAATATCGCGAAATTTTTAAATTTCTTGTATTTTTCTCGATTTTTTTTATATTCCTCTTGCTTCTATAAAGGGTCTATAATATACGATGATTTTTCAGGAGAACACACTGAACTCATTTATTGATTCCTCTGTTTTGTGATAGTAAAAAGTGATTACACTTGATAATTTGAATTAATTTATTTGTTTGTACACACAGAGGGATGACTCCAGCGGACAAACCTTTGTCAAATCTATGTACGTCGATCCTTCACCTACCCACGATGAGTTCCATGGAATGAAAACCAGTTTGTCGGAAAATATCTATCAGAATCTGAGATGTCGTGAGAGCTTGAATTCCAGTGGAACGGTATCTCGTAAGACGAGCACAGCTTCTGAGTACACACCAGAACATACTTATATAGTTAATAGATCACCTGGTCATGTTGATCAAAATACCGTCAACTACCTTGCAGAGACAGCTATTTCCCCTCCTATAGATTTACCAATACAGCGTCCAATCATACCTACAGATCTAGGAAATGATATGCTAATCGGTAGTCCTCCTAGATTGTTAGACTCAGATGGTAGTGATCATACTGACGCTTTTAAGGCTGAGTTAAATGACAGTTTGCTTCAGAAAGACACTAGTAAATTTACTCCGATGCCTGGACAAAAAGTCAACTTAAAGGTATTCGTCATGTCAGTAGATCAAAATTCAGATGTTAAAAAAGATGATTACGTAGAATCTCCTAAAGAAAGAATCATAGAAGTCAAACTTGAAGACAATAAAACTGAAAAGTGTTCAACTCCCGAAGTCGATGCAAAGAGTGAGAAGCTTATGGATCAGAGCTTAAAGCTTCCACCTCAGAGAAAAATTTCTAGATTTTTGGTGAGTCCTGTATTGTCTGGACAATTGAATCTTCCAAAGGATAAAGATTTTGGTACCGAGGTAGCGCCCAAACCCCAGAATGTTCCTGATGTTGTGCCACTAGTAGAAAAGCCAGTAGAGATAATTCATCAAGCAACTGAATTAAAGTCTGTTATTCCCAGTAACGTAATCGCTTCCACAGAACCTTTAAGAAAGAACTCTGCTCCTTTAGAAACTACTAGAAATATGCTTGAGTTAGAAAAACCTCCAGAGCCAAAGATCAGCGTATGTTCTTTAAAAGAAGAAAGCAGTGCGGTAAAAGACGATTCAGTTCAAATGTGTGGTCCTGAACACATTAATACATTAGAGCAGTTGAAAATTAGTCTCGATAATCTAAAGCACAGCAGTCATCCTAAGAAGGATTCTGGAGAAGCTGAAACTAAAAAGATATCTTCAAACATCGATGTTAGTGCAAAGGGATCAACTGTAACAGCGCAGTCATCTCCATCTCAGTTTATACCACAACCAACTCAGAGCCAACCTTCGCAACAACCACTACAGCCCCAACAGCAGCCAATGCAATCATCGCAACAGCCGCTACAACCTCCACAGCAGCCACTACAACCTCCACAACAACCGTTACAACCTCCACAGCAGCCATTACAACCTCCGCAGCAACCATTACAACCTCCACAACAGTCTTTACAACCTTCACAACAGTCTTTGCAAACTCCCCAACAAAACTTTACTATTTCATCGCCACAGTCTCAGCAGACGTTACCTCCACCTCAACAAATGTCAGTTTCTCAAAATTTACCTCAGCAGCCGCCAACTCAGCAAACTTTAATACAACCTCAACAGTCTGTACCACAGCATCAACCAAGTTTAGCTCCTATGCAACAATCTCAACAATTACCAACGAATCAACCGCCGCAACAGCAGCCTCTAACGCCTTTACCTCAACAGCAGCAATCTTTACCGCAGTTGCCCCAACAACAGCAATCTTTACCGCAATTGCCCCAACAGCAGCAATCTTTACCGCAATTGCCCCAACAGCAATCTTTACCGCAATTGCCACAACAACAGCAATCCTTACAACAATTGCCACCACAACAACAAGCGACTTTACCTCCACAGCAGCAACCGTTGCAACAGCAACCTCAATTACAACAGATATCTCAACAACAGCAGTATTCCCAGCACCAACAACTACCACAGCAACAGCTACCGCCGCAACAGCTACCGCCGCAACAGCTACCGCAGCAACAGCTACCGCAGCAACAGCTGCCTCAACAACAGCTATCGCAGCAACAGCTGCCTCAGCAACAACTACCGCAGCAACAGCTACCGCAGCAACAGTTGCCGCAGCAACAGCTGCCGCAGCAACAGCTATCACAGCAACAGCTGCCGCAGCCACAAATACCGCAGCAACAGCTTGCGCAGCAACAGCTACCGCAGCAAAATCAACCGCAGCAACAGCTGCCGCAACAACAGCTACCACAGCAACAGCTACCGCAGCAACAGCTGCCGCAGAAACAGCTGTCGCAGCAGCAAATGCTGCCCCCACAACAACAGCAACCTGTACCACAGCCACAATTGACTCAACAACTGTCTCAGCAGCAGATAAATGTTCCACAACAGCAATTATCGGCGCAGTCACAGATATCTCAGCAACAGCTACCGCCTCAACATCACCAACAGTTTTCTCAACATTTGCCACAAACGCAGCAACAAATTCCTCATCCGACAAGTCAGCCTCAGTCTGTTCTAGCTCAACAGGCTTCTTCTATCTCACAGCAACAAAACTACGTACCTTCCTCGGTACCGCAACAGTACGTGCCTACTGCTACACACCCCATGAATATTTCCCACATTAGTTCTTCCATGCCTCAACAATCATCATCCGCAATGAGTGGGTCGGTGCCAAGTCAGCCTATATCGATACCGATGTCTCAACCATTGTCAAGTAGTGTACCGCATCAACACGAAATTCCATTATCTGTAAGTATTCATCTATTTACTAAAATTTTGCACGAGAGCTTTATTAAAACTTCTCTGCTTTTACTGATCGTCATCTAACTAATATTAATATGTTTGTGGGAATTCAATAATTGTGAAAAAACACAATATTAATGTTTTTTAAGTAAGCTATTTACATTTTTGTTTAATTTTTAATGCTAAAATATTGTTTGGTACCTTTGTTTTACATATTTATCATATCATACAGAACATATTTGTCGTTTAAGTAAGACTCATTGTTGTTGTCTTTACATTTTAATAACTTTTGTAACTGTCCCCACAAGAATGGACTGAAACCCATAGATAATATATACAATAAAAAATATTTTTTTTAATTTCAATTTATTCTCTAATAAAGTCAAATATTAAGAAGTTAAGAAAGTGTCAAATGTGAAATGGTTTACCTTATTCACCTCTTACATGTTATCTTAAATCTTACATGTTACATTTCGTAAGCAAAAGTATAGTTTCAAGATGTTCTAAGGGAAACTGCTTAGGTTATGCTAATTGAGTTGATGGACTGATGAATGTTGCAGCATACGTGGATTTCTGTTTAAATTAAAAATATCTGTACAAGATGTAGAGAAAAAGACATCCCTACTTTGACACTGGCAACAGGAAGTACCACTATACAAATAAATTTTGTAATTATATGACAGTTAGTATACAAAGGAAAAATACACATATACAAAGATGATAGTGATAGGAGTACATAGGAGGCGGTGCCTCTTATATGCACTCAGGTGCAATAATAGAAACTATTTTGTCTACTGTTTTATGGGTTTCTAAGCGAATTCTTCAAAACTGATGACCTATCACACATCCAAATATTCGGGGAAATGCTCATCTTGACAAGATAGATAAATTAGAGAGGAAAGACAATCTTTTCAAAATCAAATATTATTTCAGTCCATTCTCCTTCAGCAGCTTTCGCGTCACTAACCCATCGATTTTAAACTTACAGATACCACAGCCTCATGTACTACCCACTAGCGCAACTACTACCATATCCCACGCCATCAGCCAGTCAACCATTCACCAGCAACAACCACCCCCTCAAAGTTACACTCATCAACCATCATCAGTTCCTTCTCCCATACCTCAGCATCTCGCTACGTCTCAGCCTATGGTAATAAACATGAATCAACCACCCATCGACATGCAGACGGTGTATCAGCAACCGGTGTATGCCGGTCACGGACACACAATTTCTAGTTCTGTATCTGTGCAGAATTTCTCGTCGGCGGCGGGAGGACAGCCTGTTGGCGGTTTCCAGCATTCCATGTCAATCGACGACACTCTGCAAAACTATGCTGCTGCTGTCAAGAAAGTGCCAGAGAATCTCAACCAAATATTGGAAAGGTGAGTAGTACCATCATATCAAGATTATTAAGACGTCATTCATATACCTGCTTCGAGAAATCTTCCTACTTTAATTGTTACTTTTACGATTTAGTCAATACCTGCCTATCATCTATTGTTTTCAAATTTCATGATTCACCTACCTCTTGTCTTTCATAATCGCTAGTCCTGATTAAAATAGGGCCAAAGTGGAAGATTAAAGTAAATAAATTAGTGATACTACAAAGAAACTGTAGTGGTGCATCTGAAGAAAATACAGTTTAGTCCAAAATAAACAATACTGAACTTGTAATTGTTTTATTGTTTTAGGAATTAATACTTTATGACATTTTCTATTATTATTGATGCTTTATGACATGTTCTAAATGTGCTCCTCCTCGTTCAAGACAGATTCCATATCAATGTTTCAGGTTTCTCGTCATGTTATGGAATAAGGGTTATCTTAGGTCGGCAAAGAAGGCTCTAACGGCTCCAAAATGCGCCTGGTGGTGCAAGGTCTGGAGAATGTGAAGGATAAGGGAAGTCAGTAAATCGTGCAATGAATCTGCTTGGAAAATATTCCTGGACATCGGCGAATTGCTACAGCAGTATGACAAGTTGCCTCGTCATGCTGTAAAAAATGGTCTCGAAATGCCAAATTACGTTCACTACAGAATTGACGTATATCAGGGATGAAGCGTGTTAAAATTTGTACGTACCTATTGATTAACTACCATTTTCTTCGATAAAACACGGAGCAAATGATTCCGTGTCCCGAAACTGCACAGCAGACACTCACTTTTGCACTAAGTCAAGGAACTTGTTGAACTTCGAATTCGAAATCGAATTGTGCCACGATTTATATGGCCCGACAAATGAAAATGTGTGTCGTTTGAAAACCATACATTTTATACAAATTCAAGATTTTCATACTGTAACGCAAGAAGAAGTAGAAGTCAGTGAAGTAAACGGACTGTCCCTAAACACAAAAAAGACACAATTTATGGTGATTACAAAAGCCCGACAGCACCAAGAAAACAGCAATACATGGAGAACAAATTAAAAAGTTGAAAAATATAAATATCTGGGTACAATAATTAACGAAAATAATGAGTACACAGAAGAGATTAAGGCAAGAATAGGACAGGTAAGAAATTCTTTCAACAAACTGAAAAAGTACTCTGCAGCAGGGACATTTCAATTTCCTTAATGATATAACTTTGAGATGCTGCGTGTTCTCCTTATTAGTTTATGGGTTGGAGGCTTGGACAAATAAGAAAGATGTTTCGGACATATTAGAAGCCTTCAAGTTATGGGCATACAGGAGGATATTTTTGGGTGGATAGAGTCACGAATGTCGAGGTGTTGAGAAGAATGGGAAAATATAAAGAGGTTTTAAATACAATTAACGTCAGAAAACTGCAATATCTGGGACATGTCATGAGGGGCGATCGTTATAACTTGTTACAACGTAATGGTTATTGTTGTTGGATTGTACCTATTATTGCACGCCTCGAGTTTTCTTTTCTTTCGCGCAATACATTATCCGTATTTCTGGACTTTTCAATAACCTTCAAAATTACAGCACTACTTGTAGAACGTTTATTAAACCGTTGTTTGAGTTGATCACACACGTATCGAAGACTTACACCATTACGTCGGCCGATTCCGTATTAGCGAAAATTATGCTCCACCTGAAACACTTTTTCCTCTATACTTAAGAGTTTTTTTATCAATTAGGCCTTACTAATTAATTGTTTAAGGATTACTTGACATGTCTATACTAGTTGATTTGGGTATGACAGCGCGCACAAAGTGACATCTATATTTCAGTTTCAGTACTGTTTATTTTGGACAATACTGTATTACGTTTTAATAGAAAACCAATTGATATTCAGATACGAGGTCTGTCCCAAAAGTAGCCGACTGTCATTCATAACTTCGCGCCAAAACATGCCAGTGCTCTGTGAGGTATAAATGTATGAATAATTCTCTGCGAACTTTCCGTATACTGTTGTTACCATCTACAAGTATCTATTTCGTAGTACCATGCTTTTTTGGAGGAATTTCCATTAAGATTTAGTTTAACCCGAAAATAGTTGTACGAAGATTGTTCTCCAAAAAGGGCTGCGATGATTGAAAGATGTTCGGGGATGCATAAATGAGCAACACACATATTAAAACATGTTCATTCGGTTGAAAAATGAACGCACGTGTGTATTGATCCGCTTTCTGGCTTATTTGCCAGCACAACACCGAAAACTATCGACGTGTGATACTGAGGGTTAATGAATTTGACTGTTCGCGAACTAGTAAGTGTTCTGGGACTTCTGAAAACTTGTGCTTTGATAGTTCTAATGATAATTTGGCGATGCGTCAGATGCGGGCCAAAGTGATTTCAAAATTACTCACGGCAGAGCGAAAAATATCAATAGTGGCTCTGAACAACTTGGAAATGAACGCTAATGATGAAAATATTCTTAAAAAGTTAATTAACAGTGACTAATCGTATGATTTATGATTATGATCTAAAAACAAAAATGCCAGCTTTCATATAATTTTTTTTTTTGTTATAAAGGTGTTCTATACCATGAATACGCTCCGGAGGCCAGATAAGTAACAAAGAAGGTTACATTCAAGTAAAAGGATTGTGCGACGCCATGAGACGCAAAAGGGTTCCAATTTCGGGCTACCTTCAACAGGTTTCTTCTTGCGAAATTTTTTGTCAAAACACAATTTTACACAACTCTGACAGTACCGTAAAGTCCATCTAGCACCCTGCAAATTTTTTGTGTTTCCAAAACTGAAAATGTCGTCTAGAGGGTAATTTTTCTATGAAATAAAGTCTATTAAAACGAAAGCGACGGTGGCACTAGATGTAATTACAAAAACTGAATTTCAGAACTGCTTTAGTCAATTGCCGATTGAAAAGTGTTGAAGTACTATTACCGTCTAAAATGCTAAAAATGACACATTTTCAACATTTTTTTTGTATTATATGACAATTAAACTTTTTTTATATTATTGTAGTAATAAAAACTTACAACTTTTGATTATTACAAAAAAAAATTGACAAACATTTTTCATCTAATTATTACTATTCCTTGGCGAACATTTAATCTAAGTAACGGCAACTATGAAACATAAAATTCGAGAAGGGTTTTAAAAAAGAAGTGCCCTTGCGTTATAGTTTACCAAAAAAATTGATAATTCGTAAAAAAAAATAAAATGGCGGAATTTGAATATTTTTTCAAAAATTGGAATCTAAAAATGTAAAAAAAATATTTTTTGAAAATTCTAGACGGTAGTAGTACCAATTCGTATGAGGATTACTTTCAAGGATGCAACGAACTGGCTATAGTTTATTTTTATGAACGAGAGAGTAATTAGCATAATTTTAACTGGTACCTCCGACCACTCCATGGGCGTGCTCAAGATTAATTGAAAAATTACTTTGAATAATTGTAAAAAATAAATGAATTATTTCAGTGTTATAAAGTGTTATGTGTATGTAAACAAAAGTGACCTCTTTTATCACACACTATATTAGAACTGACTGGCCTACATTAAAAAAGGTTTTAAAAAATTCACATTTTTTTTTAATTTTTAAAAATTACAAAAGAGAAAAAGAGTTTTTATAAACCGTCTAAGGTATGTTAAATAGATGAATAAAAATATTAATATAAAACTTACAGCTACTTGTTACAAATCCAAATCAGATTCAGAAGATGAACTTTCAGAACCAAGATTTATAATAACTGGCTCGATCATTTTATCAGTAATATTGTCCAGCTTCCACATTTTTTCCTCTTCTTTAATAGTGTGATTTACTGCCTTTTCCCAGTTTTCAGGTTTTACATTATTTACGGCCTCCAAAAACAACTGTTTAACATCATGAATTTTAAAAGTGGTATTTTTTCTTGAAACTTCACTCTTTATCTGTGCCCATACCAGTTCAATCGGGTTTAATTCACAATGATATGGTGGGGATCTAAGTACTGTCATTCCATGATTTTTGGCAATTTCATCAATTTCGTATTTTTTAAATTTTTCTTTATGAAGGGCACACAACGAATAAAGTTCCTTTCTTATAGATCCGGGATGGTACGTAATATTTTTTGAACTCAGCCAATTCTGCAAGTCTTTTTTAACCACTTGGTTGTGGGCAGTCCTTCTATAAGTCTGAAGTGATAACTTGCATTATCCATTACTATTACACAGTTCTTAGGAAGATCTATCATTTGTTCGAACCATTCTTGAAAGACATCAGCGTTCATGTCTTCATGGTAGTCACCGGTACGAGTTGATTCAAAAGTTAATAAACCACCTTCAACAAAACCATCTGAACTGCCAATGTGTACTATTATCAGCCTGCGTCCCTTTCCTGATGGTGGGTTTAAACCAGTAGATAAGTTATTTACAAAAGCGTGCCTTTGACTTGTAACAGTTTCATCCTGCCAAAATTTATTTGGTGTATGACCCTCGTTGATCCATGTTTCATCAAGATAAAATATTTTTCTTTTTTGGTTTCTCATTTCCTTTATGGTTCTTAGAAAATGTCTTCTTCATATGAAAATATCGCTTCTTTCTAATAAAATAGTCTTTCTGGGATTCTTTTTCCAGTGGAAGCATATTTCTTTTAAAAGTTTCCATAACGTACTTCGACTCATTTCTGGGTAATCTTTATCATCTCGAACTGAGACAAGAACTTTATCCAATGTTGGAAATTCTTGTCTAAAGAAGAATTCATGCACTTTCCGTCGAAGTCCTTCTTTAAAATGATATTCTATTTGAAATTTTGGTTTCCCTGGAGCATTACGTGGCATTTGAAAACTACCACATTTCTCTTCTTTAATAACTCTGTAAATCGTAGATTTCCCAACACCAAGTGTACTGCTAACTAACTCAACGGTCTCATCAACACTTTCACATAAACGTTTGTCTGTAAATGATTTAAAACAATTAAATATTAATGTTTTTTCATTAACTGTTAAAGGACCAATTTTTCGACGTTTACACGGCTTTTCCAAATTTTCCATAACACTAGTATACACAATAAACTGCACTCTGCAACTGAAGTACCTACTTTTAGTGAACTGTTAAGAATTTTGAATACGCCACTTGGACCTTCCTACAAAATGGAAAAACCCACTATCACATTTTCTGTGGAATAAGTTTAGAAGGTAATTATCTAGTCAATTACTGTCGTAGATTCCTGGAATTAAAGAATTAAATGTTTGATTGTTGAAACCCTTACTTCGTGGAATGCACTCATTTCAAATAAAATAAAACGTTTTATTTTATCTAAAGAATTAAACTTTATTTTGCAAATAGGTAGGTACTTATTAAACCTTTATTGGTTATATATAACCAATAAAATAAACATCTTACATTTCTTGCAAATTCATTAGTACCTGTTAACCTCCATCACTCCGACACTGGCAACCTTATTTAGGGATTAGTAACCCTCACAACTATTGTATTCTATTCTGCTCCAACCTTTATACCTGGTGGTCATACTCAATTTAAAATTGTTTTCCTATATACTTCTGTAAACTTGTTGACAAATATCTGTTTTTCATTGAGTCACCCGTATCAACAGTTTAGGGATTTGCATACATAATTTATTGTTTTATTACTCTCTCATACATAAAAATACACTATAACTACGAATAAAGCATTGGAAATTTGTGAAAGAAGGTCGATACTTTTGGGACAGGCTTCGTAAATGCATATTTATTTATTTGAACTTTTGTGTTTTGCAGCTCCAGTAAAGTTAGTCAATCTCCAGCTTCGCAAGGTGATGCCAAATATGATGCGCATCTGCAGAATTTGCAACAGAAGTTGTGTGCTATTCCTTCGTCTAGAACTTCGCAAAATAATACTGTAAGTATATTGTACTTCAAGAGTACTTCATTGTGGTAATGTTTTTTTTTCGTTCATTGTTGTTTACTAACTGACCATGTTAATATCGTTGTTAATTTTAACAATATTTGTTATGTTGTTTTTGCATTTTGTTGAACGATTTGATTAATGATTTTAATTATTTGCTTTGCGATTTATTTTGTTACAAGTTTGTAAACCCAAATATTTAATGCATCTGCCGTGTCAAAATTGTTTACACCATTTAACCACATTCATTATCAAACTATAACGTTCGACGCAAGGCAAGAGGAAATAGGAGAAGATGGATACGAAGTAAAAATCTCTGTACAAGAATACCTCTGTGCACACAATATGCAGCTTTCATTTGCTTATAATTTTTTAAAGGCTGAATATCAAATACTAAAAACACCAGATAATGAATGAGAATTGAATGTTGATGATAATCTGTATTTCCTCATTATAATGCTGTTTTTTTTTTGTGAGACAGCACTAAATCTTAATTTGACAACACATTCTTCCTTTATTATCGACAAAGTATAAGTTTTCGTTTACAGAAAATAATGAGATACAATGGAACGTGGATAATTTGAAACTGAAGGGACCAGAAAGTTCTTTTTAAGCAAATTAAAAAAAGTAATAAAAAAAAAAGTAATAAAGTCAGCTACAAAGTAGAAGACTTTTTATTGGATTTAGATCGAATACGTCAAGTAGTTGTAAAGTTCTTAAGGTATATTAAGGATATTGTAAATTGTTTCACTTACGTTTTCTTTTTGCTCAACAACCCACCTTAATATCTGGATATAATCTGAAGCTTGGGTTGACGTTACGACATGCACTTCAGAAAATTCTGATTTCTGCATTTTATCTTCATCTCCAATTTTACATTCACTTTTAGTTACATCGACAATGATGTCAGTTCACATTAGCTATACCGTCAAATCTTTATACAAAATCATAAAATTGGTGAACACGAATACTTGTCCAGTCAGTTTGTTCCCAATTGTCCTCTGTATGTCTAACTTCTTCGGTATTTTCTGTTTCTCCCTCAACATGACCTAGTGCAGCTCTACAAGCCAAGTTTGAAATGGCTGATCATATGACTTAGTCCCACATACAATTGCACAGCCGAGCAGCTAGAAGAGTGTTTATTTGGATAAGATACATTTTTCGAAAATCTCACTTATTATCCAAACTTTCTTCCTTCCTTTATATCTGTAACCAAATTTTTCCAGTGTAACCAAAATCCAGTTATAGATATTGTTTCCACTTTTGTCTCTCGCTCGCTTGAATTCACGTTGTCATGTATCTTCAAAAAGTACGGAGGTGTATTTTCTAATTATTCTAAAACTTACCGGACCAAAACAACCGTTCAAAGTCAACAAAATACATACTACATTTCGAAGAAAATTTGTGACAGTTAAGGTATTTAATTAACTAAAATACATTCGAATTATAGATACCTGATATGAAATTCAACTGAGCACAGGAAAACTTGCAGTTATCCACGTTCCACAGTAAATCCAAAATATTTCGACAAAAACCGTATACAACAAAAGATTATCATTTAAATTATACGTATTATCCCCACTCAACAGCTAATAAACACACATGTTTTATTTTTGGGTTGTTTTTATTATTTTTTTTTATCAAAATTTTAAACATACAAATAAATCGCATAAACAAAAGAAATTGCTATGCATGTTTTTTTCAGGCGCCATCTAGTCCCCAACTGATACTCGCTTCGCCAGAGTTCCCGCAAGAAAATGTGCCTACTAATGCAAACGTTAATATAAGCAAAGTAACTAACTTTTCTTTTAATCATTAACTGTTTTCATCGTTAATATCATGCACAAAAACTGTTCATTTTAAAAATATGACAAATATTTCTACACTACAAATACAAACCCAAAACTATTGCCACGATCGGCTCTTTTTGAAAAATCTTTTGTGTTTTAGCACCTGCTGTCGAGCTTCTTGTTGAATCCAAGCCTTGCTTTTGCTGATTGGTTTTGCTGATTACTATTCAGTAGTCTCTCTGATCTTTGGAAGTATGGCCTGTAAAAGTGGGCATGTCCATATTTTCCAGATCACTGAGGCTGCGTTGTTTCTTTATTCATTCTTGTCCATTCTTGTCTTAAGAAGCTAGTGAATATATGGTCACAATCGGCAGAGTTCAGCATTCCAGAAAACTAATGAATCCTGGGTGTCACCTATTACCCATCTGTAGCTTTCACTCGGTCACTTAGTTTTACAAGCCGTGCTATTAGAATTGGCAACTTTGCAATGTCGACTTGATAGGCCTATCTGCTGTGGACCGACCCGTCGCTGCAAATATTGGACAGCGGCACTGTCCAATATTTGCTGCACTAGGGTCTTGCTCATTTCCTAGTAGGAAATAAACAAGACCATATATCATTAAAATTGTTTTAATGGTTAAGACCATATTTCATTCTCCTTGTTTTTCAGGTAGGGCAGGTAAATTTCTAAGTAGCATTTCATAGTTATTGTTTGTTAACGTTCCTTTAAACGTTCCAATTAACTGAGTATTCACTATACCCGATCTGTTATTTCACTCCAATACCTTAAATTTTGTAGATTTACACATTGTATTTGTGTAGCTCTGCGTGAGGATGTATGTAGATCTTCAACAAAACTCTGCATTAAATCTAAAGTTTTATTGTAATGTATAACAGTTTTTTGGTTACCTGTTTCATTGCCATCTTTTATTCGTCCATATTCCTCTAATCTCTTTACAATTTTTTGTTGTACCATCGCCTTATGGATAGGAGAATGGTTTGGGAAAGTATCGTTGAACCAGTTGGCTACACCATAAGATCTTTTTCTATCGTCATAGCCACACATCATTAAAACAGTAATTTGCTCTTTTTCATTAATCATCTTTATTGTAGAGCTTTTAAACACGCATAAAACAACTGTTAGCTTTAGTTAATAATACAATTTATGTTACCAAACTTTTGATTAAATCATTATCATCATCATCCGTTTTGTGTCCACTGCTGGACACAGGCCTCCCGTAAATAATTCCAATGCATTCTATCTTGAGCACCCTGAATCCAGTTGTGCTGAATGCGCTCGATGTCATCTCACCACCTTGTTGGAAGACGTCATCGATTACGATAAGCATCGTGTCTAGGTCTCCAGTCCCGAATTCTCTTCGTCCACCTTCCATCTTTTAATCTGGCAACATGCCCCGCCTAGTTCCATTTCAATGTTGTAATCCTTTGAACTGCGTCAGTAACACCAGTTTTTCTCCTAACTATTGTATTTGTCTCTGAGGGATATATTCAGCATTGACTTCTCCATCGCTCTCTGTGCCACTTGTATTTTATTGATTACTTCTCTGGTAATAGTCAATGTTTCTGCTCCATACGTTAGAACTGGAAGTACACAGTGATCAAAGACCTTCCTTTTCAAGTACATGGGAATATCTGATCTAAGGACTTTTCCCAGTTTTCCGTAAACCGCCCATGCCAGTCCTATTCTCCTGTTTAGCTCCGTTGTTTGATTATCTCTTCCTAATTTAATCTCGTGGCCCAGATAATTATAGCTATACATCTGTTCAATTTGCGTGCCGTTAGTGGAGATGTTTTTCGCCAGTACATGGTTGGTCATATATTGTGTTTTAAGTCCAACTCGTGTACACAAGCTCTGAAGATCTTGAAGAAGCTGGCAGGCATGGTCTTCCCGGTCTGCAATAAGGACTATTTCGTCTGCAAATCTCAAGTTGTTCAGAAACTCTCCATTTATGTTGACTCCAATATTCTCCCAATTATTGTTTTTGATAGCACTCTGCAACAAAGCGGTGAATAGCTTAGGAGAGATGGTATCTCCTTGCCTATTTCCCCTCTCGAAGGGAAATGTATTTGTGTTGCCATAATACATTCGAACTGCAGCTGTTGCGCTATTATATTTATTCCGAAGAAGAGTTGTGTACCTATGATCAATACTGCACTCTGTAAGAGCTCTTAACATGGAGCTATGCTGGACTGAGTCAAACGCTTTCTCTAAGTCTACAAATATTAATATTAATGGCTTGTATTCTGTAACTTTCTCTATTAGAGATATAAATGAGATATAAATGAGATAACAAGCTGATAGGTCTGTAGTTTCCAATTTCTGTTACATCTCCTTTTTTGTGCAATATTATCATAATGGCACTATTCCATTGTTCTGGTGTAACTTCTTCAAAGAGGCAGGCATTATAAAGGGTTTTTAAAGCTTTTATGACGCATTCGCCTCCTAATTTTAGCATTTCACTTACAATGGCATCTTCTCTAGGTGATTTGCTGTTCTTGATATCTTTCAACGCTGATTCGATTTCCTCTTCGGTTATATCTGGAAGTTTCTCTGATCCTTGGTTTTGTATGGCTGGGATTTTCACCTCTGGAATGTAAGCATCTCGACGATATAATGTTCTCTAGTACTCTTCGATAATTTTCATAATTTCTTGTTTTTCATATATAGCATCTCCTTGTCTATTTTTTAGCTTATAAATCTTTCTGCTTCCTGTCTTCAACTTTCGTTTTAGAACTTTAAGGCTTTTACTTTGTTCCATGTTCTATGGTATTTCATTAAATATCAAGCTATTATTAGTTTTATAAGTTAATGTCAAAATCACAGCATTTTATATTACTGAGTTCCTTCAAAACTATTTGGCACTGAGAACTTTTATTTATTTAAGGCCTTCGTAACTAGATAAAATACCAAATATTACATATGGTTGAACTTGTATTGAAGTGAAGATTCCATTAATATTAATAATAATACAATATACAGATTATTGTATTTATTTAAAAACCAAAGTTGCTTATGATATTAGACAAATAGTAAATCTAGTAAAATGGCAAGCATCCAATTTGAAATCTTCATATTGCAGAATAGGCGTATCCCGATTTTTGTACAATTTGAACCATCCATTTATGAGACAATTAGGCGTTTCCAGGTCCTCTCTGTATAATGAATAACCTTTCTACCATATAATGGTGTAAGGTTATTGATTTCTTAATATAAATATAATCTACTTTTACTGGAATGTAAATTCAAATCTAAAGGAAAATTCAGAATAAGAAGAATAGAAATAGAATAGTTATTTTTTGTTTATTGATTATTTTAGAAATTGAAGACAATATATATTTGTGTCCATTATTGTGGTGGATGGTTAAATACACATCACATTTAAATTTCTGTCAGTGAACTACTATCAAAATTTGACTTTAATATTAACGATGAAAACATTTTTTACTTTAATATATAATATCATGTGTTCAGAAATAATACAGTAATCGTATTTTAATTAGTGGTTTTTACAAAATAAACACATTTTTTTATTTCTGAATACAGTATATTTTCTTTTAATCTGGTAATATTTTGCATAAACAATTACTTTCACAATTTTCTACGCAATATGCTGTATCATCATACCGATATTGTTATTCTCAGTAACAATAAATGTTGAGTTAATACGTTTATATGAAATGTATTCATACTGGGTGACAATTGGCAATAGGACGATTTTAAAACAAGTAGTACACAAGAAATTTGCAAGAAAATACTATTTTATTAACATCAAAATGAAGCTTATATTATGCCATTTACAATCTAATTAAGTAAGTAAAATGTTGTCATCAAGATGGTGACCATCACGTTGGATGCAGTTTCCGATCCTCTTTATGAAATCCTCCATAACACGCTATAACATCGCTCTATTAATAGTCAGGATTTTAAATAACCCCATAGAAAAAATCACGAATTGAAGGCCACGGCAAATCTCAGAAACGTGAAATGAATTGTCCTGGGAACAGGTTGCGAATATTCATTGAAGCATGGGCAGTATGTGCCGTGGCACCATCCTGCTGAAATCACATATTTCTTGGGTTTATCCCTTTTTTGCTAAGTTTTGGAACCAAAAAAATTTGGATCATATCAACATGGCGAATGGAATTAACGGTGACGGTATAGCCAGCCTCTTCGAAAAAATATGGCCCAATAATGCCAGTCGGACCAATAGTACACCACACTGTGACTTTTTGAGAATGTAAAGGACTCTCATGGAGATTTCGTGGGTTTTCAGGAACCCAGTACCTGTAATTCTGTTTATTAACGGTTCCATCCAAATGGAAATGAGCTTCATCGCTCATTAGAAGATGCTGACCTAAGTTATCCTCCAAAAGAACTTGCATTCTTGTAGCGAAATCCTCATGTTGTACAACATCTCTTTCCATTAATTTCTGGACAATCTGCAATTTGTAAGGATGAAATTTTAGGTGCTTATGCAACACTTTTCTAAGCGATTCCAGATTAATTTTTAGCTCAATTGCATGTTTTCGGACGGACTATATTTTTTTTATGAATGCCTGTTGTTCTAAAATTCTTTATCCATCTTAAAATTATGTTACGAGATGGAACCGCTTCACGCCTACCAATATTAAAGTGGGTGCAAAAAAGCCGCTGCGTAGTGATCACTTATTCTTGATTTTGGATAAACGTATCGTATGCAAACGTGCGATGTTCTACCGTTTACTGCTCCATGTTTACTGAAATGGCACGCCGCGCTTGTTTCACTCTTATGCCCTCAAGCTTCGTACTATGAGTTCTAAAAACATCCGGCTCCCGATTGTCACCCAGTATAATTTAAATGTGGACGTTTACATGCAATTTAAATGCAGCCTTCATACTTTCATATAAAATTTAAATAAAAATTTAAATGTAGCCTTAATACTTTTACATTCATTCGGAATAATTTTGCCTTCAGTTTCATTTGAATCTTTTTTTCATGCAGCACTCCACTCGCTTCTTTCCGTTTCATCCATCCTCTCTAATTATGCTGCATGCATTATGTATTCCATCTATTATCCCATAACTATATAATACTGATCTTAAGTACTTAAAATTCTTACTTTTTACAATCATTTCACCTTCTAAAGCTATCATTTTAGTTGTAGTAACTCCATCTTTAAATAAACATTTCAAATAAACTATTTTGTCATACTAAGCTTTAAACCTTTTTTCTCAATAGCTTATCTTCACTGTTCCAGATTTGGTTTCAATATCCCTTTCAGTATTTCATAGTAACACCACGTCATCATCACACATTAAGCACCGATTCGTGGTACAATCCTTTTACATGAAATTGATCAGTCTCTCCCACACCTTTCCTAGCACTAGTTGTTACTGCCTCATATATTTCTCTCACAATCTTTGCATATTCACATGGAACTCCTTTTTTGTTGATTTCCCACCGCACAATTACTCGAGAAACTAATCATATGCTTTCTCAAGATCAATAAATACAATATGGATATTTTTGTTTCTTTATTCCTGTACTTTTATTTTAAGTTAAGATTATTAGATATTTCGGTTTCTTTATGTATCCGTCTATCAAATACTCTCTCTTTTTAAGCGCATCTACCAACTTCATACTCTTACCTGTAAGACTTTTGAGATTCAAAGATCCTATCCTAATTTTTCCAACCTGTAATGGTGTTTGTTTTGTGACCTGTGAATATTGTCGGGCATTTGATACCTGAATGCCTTTTCTATCAAATTATGTCCTGCACAATTTAGCCAACATACCTCCAATGCAACCAAAGTGCAGTATTAATCCACAGCCGCCTACATTTTTCTGTACATGCCAGAATCCCTACTGTAAGTACTGTGCTATAAGCCAATGTATTGTTACCCTTAACTTGCCACTAGTTGGCACGTACTTTATTGGATGCCATAAATTTATTACTGTAGGTTATAACTTTTATAATACTCTGATAATCCTGTAATACAAGTCAAACATTTATTTTTAAGCGATAGTTGTCTTTCGTCATGATTTGTTCATATTTGAGAGCATGTGTTTGATATCATGTGTCTTATGAACGGCAGGGATAAAAAAATTGTTAACATTGTAGACTTAATATATCGAATATTACCAGATTAATAGTAAAAATCAAAGAATCCCCGCACCTAGCGAAAAACTCACCCTCTTCCAGCTACAAATAGATTCAACCAGCATCCCTAGTAGTGGAACGACCACATCGGACGTACTATCTCCAGTTGTAGAGCCAGAAAACACGCCAGTACTAAATGCCATCGTCGAAGATCCGCTTGTAGAACTGAATAATAAACTAAAACAGATTAACGCTAGATCTGAGTCAGTAGTAGAGAAAAAGGACTACCCGCCTAACGTTCCTGACCTGGCTGCTAATGAGGTAAAGGGTGACATTAACATCGGGCACGAAGTCGGTGAAAATAACGCTAACGTTTATGGTGGTAACCAGGTTAGGGCTTTACTAAATGAATATTTTGTAGTTTTTAGTTATATTAAAGTATATTTATTGAAAGAGATATATATATGAAAACTTTAATGCAATCTAAATTAATGTTCTCAAAGTTATGTTCCCCGAGTCAGATATAAAGTCCAATCCCATCCCATAAAGTATGTTGTTGCTATTTGAATTTTGAACATTTTTATTGTTCTACCTGTGATAAAGTTGTGTAAGTATTCCAAACATGTCAGACGTTGTAGAGTATCCAGAGCTCGCAAGAGATTGTAAAGAACATACTCCAGATTTGAAAGCAGACTACGATGATATCAGTGAGAGAAATAAGAAAACAAGTGTATCAGATTCTTGAAGAGCCCGGAAGAGTTTTTTCTCGTTCAATTTCGTATTTTATATATTATACTATTGGGCTTATAGTATGTACTAATAAATGGTAAATTCCCCACGTTTGAATTGAACGTCCTGTAATGTTGAGGCAATCAAATATAAAATCGCACCAGTATATGAATATAAATTTAACCAGTTAACTCTTAAGGTCGATTCAGACACATCAGTCACGTCTTGTCACAGTCCTGGCGCCGAACCGAACAATCCGTCATACAAAATATTCTTTAATAGAAATATGGCGCCGGCATTCACATTCATCAGTTGACGAACAGTTCCCATCTGTCCCATCAGTCCCATCTGTCAGATAATTAATAATCAAAAGACTGATATTTTTTGTACACACTTATGACAAGTCGAAAGAAAATGCAAAAAAGTATTTTTGAAGTGTGTATATTTTAGGCAATTCCTAGCTGAGCGCTTTCGGCTTTACAAAGCCATCATCAGAGCTATGCTACAATAAAATGTTCTTATAAGTACTAATTGGTAAAGATTATAATTTTTAACTTACGTCAATTTTTTAAATACCACTACAAAGGAGAGATCTCATTTCCTTATATTTCAAAATTATGATTTTTTTTAGTTGTTGAAATTCTTAAAACATATAAAAAAACATATAAAAAGCCGACACTGGACTTCACAAACACGTTAAAAAATTGAAAAAAATTTTTTGTCATGGTACGGGTGTAAGAACCCGACCATTGATTGATGTTAGGAGGTAGACAGAATAGAACTAATGAAATCAAATGTCGGTCCTTTTAAACGATTTTTAAAAGTGACAGTTGACAAATGTCATATATAGGAAATAGAGATTGTTTTTTTTAAATTCTTACAAAATTATTTAATAGAATGGAATTACTAATAGTCATCAAAGACTTTCTAAAAATTAAGTTTTTAAATTAAATTTTATGTGTTCATCACATCATACAGAATGACATTAGTTTGTAAATTCACTCAAGTCATTGCTCAAGGTCAATGTATGTTCAATCCGACAGCTATCCTTAAGAAACAAGGGCTCAAATTGTTTAACAACAATATAAAGAAGAAACATGGTATTAATGTTACATTATCTGATACTTAAGTGTATTGAGAATTGTATCTCTTGATGGAAATTTGTAAGAAATTTGCATAAAAAATTTTTTTAAGAATGTATTTTCATGTTTCAATTAAGAATAACTGTCAAATGAATTACAAAATGTTGTAAATTTCTAATAAAGTTTAAAATTTGTTTAAAAATATAAAAGTATGAAAAATATATAATAAGATTGCATGAGGTCACCCTTCTTCCTCTAAAGTCTCCCATAATAATTTAAAAAGAGGTTTATAATTGCAATTGAGGTTGATTTGTGTGTTTAAGCAACAATCAGGGTTTAGTTTCATTTCTTTGGATATCTCATTTTTTTCTGAAATTGGTCCTAAGTAAGTTAAGGATCTATATATGGAAGTAGTGTTGGATTTTTTATCATTGGATTTTATTATTGGATTTTTTAATGTTGTTAAAAAATCCAACACTACTTCCATATATAGATCCTTAACTTACTTAGGACCAATTTCAGAAAAAATTTCAAGAGTACTTGTTAATAAAATCAGTGACTTAAACATCTCCTTTAAAACCAAATATAACATCAAGTCCATCTTCAGCAAGACCAAAGACAAAGTTGACAAACTAAACAGAAGTGGTATTTACAAGCTGTCCTGTGGTGACTGTAATATGACTTATGTAGGTAGAACAATGAGAACTCTGAATCAAAGAATCAAAGAACACCTCAATAACCCAGAAAAATCAAACTTTGGATATCACATTAAATTTAATAATCATTCCTTTTCTCCTTCTGAAAACAGTAAAATTTTACACAACATTCCCAATAAAAACTTTAGACTCATGAATCTCTTGGAAGATCTTGAGATATCCAAAGAAATGAAACTAAACCCTGATTGTTGCTTAAACACACAAATCAACCTCAATTGCAATTATAAACCTCTTTTTAAATTATTATGGGAGACTTTAGAGGAAGAAGGGTGACCTCATGCAATCTTATTATATATTTTTCATACTTTTATATTTTTAAACAAATTTTAAACTTTATTAGAAATTTACAACATTTTGTAATTCATTTGACAGTTATTCTTAATTGAAACATGAAAATACATTCTTAAAAAAAATTTTTATGCAAATTTCTTACAAATTTCCATTGAGAGATACAATTCTCAATACACTTAAGTATCAGATAATGTAACATTAATACCATGTTTCTTCTTTATATTGTTGTTAAACAATTTGAGCCTTTGTTTCTTAAGGATAGCTGTCGGATTGAACATACATTAACCTTGAGCAATGACTTAAGTGAATTTACAAACTAATGTTATTCTGTATGATGTGATGAACACATAAAATTTAATTTAAAAACTTAATTTTTAGAAAGTCTTTGATGACTATTAGTAATTCCATTCTATTAAATAATTTTGTAAGAATTTAAAAAACAATCTCTATTTTCTATATATGACATTTGTCAACTGTCACTTTTGAAAAATCGTTTAAAAGGACCGACATTTGATTTCATTAGTTCTATTCTGTCTACCTCCTAACATCAATCAATGGTCGGGTTCTTACACCCGTACCATGACAAAAAATTTTTTTCAATTTTTTAACGTGTTTGTGAAGTCCAGTGTCGGCTTTTTATATGTTTTAAGAATTTCAACAACCAAAAAATCATAATTTTGAAATATAAGGAAATGAGATCTTTCCTTTGTAGAGGTATTTAAAAAATTGACGTAAGTTAAAAATTATAATCTTTACCAATTAGTACTTATAAGAACATTTTATTGTAGCATAGCTCTGATGATGGCTTTGTAAAGCCGAAAGCGCTCAGCTAGGAATTGCCTAAAATATACACACTTCAAAAATACTTTTTTGCATTTTCTTTCGAGATAATTAATAGTTCTGTGACCAAACAGGACCGGTTCGGCGGCGAGACTGTGACGGGACTGATGTGTCTGAATCGTCCTTTACTCAGTAGGCGGTAGCAGGTTATCAGGTGAAAAGCAGAATGCCTTGTTGCCAAACGTGAGGTTTTTTATTATGCAATTTAACAACCGAGATATCTTGGATAAATGATTGCAGGTTATGAAGGTTTAACGTGTATTTACTGAACCGAAGGAGAGATATGATTTGTATTATTATGTCTTCAACAAAATTATGGATCGTTAATCCCAGAATTAGTTCTAGGCCGTAGAGTTACAATGCGTAAATGAGAGATTTGAGGTGTATTAGCATTATAACTTGTATGAAATTGGAGACTTAACCCCAAAATTACTGCTAGGTTGTCTAGTTGCTATGCTTTCATGGGAGCTTTGAGGTATATTAACTTTGGATGAAGTTGGAGACCTTATACTGCAGAACTAGTTCTGTTAGGGAATTGGAAGTACAAAAATGGAGGTTTAAGGTGTATTAACATTATATCCTGGATTCCACACTTACTTCTAGGTTGTGTATTTGCAAGGCATGAACGGGATGATATAGGTATATTAGAATTATACCCTGAATAACATTTAGGACCGCAAACCCCAGAACTTGTTGTGCAAATGAGTTGGCTAATGTATAAGAAGTTTGAATGTCAGGTACATGTGAGTTACTAGAACTTTTATGAATATATGAAAGTGGTCGCTGTTGGCGAGAGAGAATAATTATTGACATTGACATCAATTAATGATGAAAATGCTTTAGTAAGTTCATAAAATTTATGAATTTGTGCAGTCAATGGTTTATAACGACAGGACGTTGAGAATTACTAGAACTTTTTGAAGTATGCGAAACTAGTATAATTTTAGTTTCTAAAGTTTTGTGTTGAAGAGAAGAACTATTAGCATTACTAAAACTTGTATTATTCTGTTTTTTATTAATAGTTCTTTCCTTTGATAAAATACTCGACGAACTACAATTATACCACTTTCATATATTCCACAAAGTTCTAATAATTCTCAAAATCCTGCCATTCGAACACCTCTTCCGACTTATAAATTATTAACTACACAAATTCATCAAGTTTATAAACTTGCTAAAGTATTTCCATCCTTAATTCGAACAAGATCAACAAAATATTACACAATTTAATAACGTGAATAGTTATTCGCGCCAACAGCAACCACTTTCATGTATTCATAAAAATGCAAGTAATTCAAAGGTATTACTGACATTTAGTATACTGAACATACAGTTCTGGCGTTTGCATTTCTAAATGTAACGAAGGATATAATTCTAATACTCATATAAACTCCCGTTCATGTATTGTACATACACAACCTAGAAATAGTTGTGGGATTTACGGTCCCCACATTTATCCAGGAAATAATGTTAATACACCTTAAACCTCTCATTTATGTACTTCCAACTCCGCAATATAGAACTAGTTCTGGAGTTTACGGTCTCCAATTTCATCCAGAATATAATCCTAATACACCTTAAAGCTTAGATGTAGGCATTGCAACTAGATAACCTTGTACTAAATTTTGAGTTTGGTCTGAAATTTCATATAGAGTATAACACT